TATATATATATATATTGTTGTGTTAGGTGCTATCAAGTCGATCATGAATCATAGAGACTCTCTGAGCAACAGATCTGAACCTTTTCCAGTCCTGTATCACCCTCATGAACTTGGATATGTTTGAGCTCATTGTTATAGTCACTGTGTCAATACATCTTATGATTCTTTCTCTCCACCTTTCCCAGTACGATGTCTTTTTTCCAAGGACTAGTCCCATAAGTATATTTGTAGGAATAAGAGATACATGTTTGAATATGCCATTTATATATAACTCTGGTGGCCTAGTGGTTAAGGAGTCACCACTGCCAACCCAAATGCATGTGGTTCAAATCCACCAACTGATCCTTGGGAGAAAGCTGGACAATCTCCTTCTATGCAGTTTACAGCCTCTGAAAACCCACTGGAGGGTCAGTTATAAGCCAGTCCGTTCTGACTTGTCGGCAGATGATAAGAACAACAACAAGATAGCATGTTGAGGCACAATTATATAGAAACACCCCTTAATCCCACACACATGCAAACACCCCTCAGGATTGGTTTCCTGGGCCGAAGGATTTGAGAACTTAGTCTCATGGGACAACCTAATGAAATCACAAAGTAGTTCACAAAGATAATGTTCTATATATCCTTATTTGGTGGGTCTAGGGTCTTGATGGCATCTAACAACATTGATCTCTTCCAGTTTGGTGCAAAAGAGAATGGAAAAAAAAGCAAAGGGTCAAAGAAGAAACTAATTCACGAACAAACCATCTACATGAACCATGGCCTCTTCTAGCCTGAGACAAAAAAGCTAGATGGCGCCTAGCAACCAGTTCTGAGCAAACTCATTTGACTAATAGAGACTAGAGGAGCTCCTGAGATGATTGCCCCACCACAACCTTTCACCTGGAACTGGAACCACTCCCAGAGGTCTTGTTTCAGCCAAATAATAGACTGGCTTACAAAATGAAGAATGTCACTCATGAAAAATGTGTTTCCTTAAATAATCAACAACACCAAGACCAAGGGAGCTCTCCTGGCCTAATGGTAAGTATCTGCACTGCAGTCCTAAAGACACATGGTTTGAATCCACCAGCAGCCCTGCAGGAGATGGTCCCACAATCTCCTTTTGTGTGATTAACAGCCTCTGAAAACCTGCTGGACAGTCAGCTCTGGGTCGGTTCTGGCTCAATAGTACTCACCAACATACAAGACCAAGTGCTCAACATTTACCTGAAAACGATGATGAGAGGCAAGGAAGCTAGATAAATGGAAACAACATGGAGAAGGGGTGAGAAACGAAACCAATGTTGTGGAACAAAGTATAAAACCGTTAGATGGGACTTTAATTCATGGCATAAACATGCACAAAGTGCAATAAAATAAAGGGGAGAAACCCCTTGATGCCTGGGTTAGACAGCAGCTCCTGCCCCTGCCACAGGCCAAGAGCAGCAAGTTGGCAGACCCAGGAGAGTGGTGGGCTGTGGGGATACAGCGGAAGAGGGGTGGAGTAGGGAAGGGAAACAAATATTTACTGAGCTGAGCCAAGCATTTCAGAAACCCTTTGAGTGGCATCGCTCACTATCTGTTCATTCATTTAGTTAGTTAACACTTCCCGAGTACCCACTCTGCCAAAGGCCGCCACCGGCATTGGGGATGCTAGGCGATTAGGATAGGATGGTGAGTTTCTGTCCCACATGCTCCCAGGTCAATGGGGGACACTCAGGAGGCCGGCGCTCCAACCTGCCTCTGACACAGATTGACTCTGAGGTTCCTAATGTCTCAGTTCAAAGTAATGAGGAATCCAAGAAGGCAATGGATTTGCAAGCAATTGCAAGCATTCTCCACCTCAGTGTGGGTGTCATGAAAGGGGGTTTCCACACAGAGGTAACGTCACAACTGGATGACAAGGACATGGTGACATGCGTCATGGACTACATTTAGAAGAGTCCTCTCCACGGGGTGGGGAGCATCCGTGAAAGCAAGCCGAAGCACCAGCCCGAGGGGGTGGCAGAGGGCACAGGCCCTGAAATGTTATTGCCCATGTGCTAAATGCCATCTGTCGCATGTTGGTCAGATCAAATCACTGAAAAACGTCATTTGTGAAGAAAAAATTATAAGTTGGTGGTGTTCTGGCACCAAGAAGATGGAGTCCGAGCTGTAGCCACTCCATCAGGGTTTGGGTCCCTTTGTTCGGAGCGGGAAATTAAAGGAGTGAATCAGTGTGCTTGTTGCAGGTATGAGCAGAATATGTGGGGGGCATGATAAGGAGCGGAAGCCAGGGTGCAGCAAACTCCTCATCATCCCTCAAAACCCCATCCCAGGGTCCTCTGCGCACCTCCTCTGCGCAAAGCAGACAGCTGTTTGGGCGCCCTGCCATCCTGCACTCTGCACACCCCACTCCGTAATTTAATCGTCATGCCTCTCTGTAGACTTTGTGTTCTCTGGAGTCAGGGACTCTGGATTCTTCCTCAATAAAGCTTTATTTCCCTGAACTGCACTGACTCAAGTCTGAAAGAAAGGTGATTTTGAAATGTTGAAACTCCCCGCAGACGGCTCCTGTTTTTCATCCATGCATGTGTGCAGCTCTGTGCCTTTGCTTACCGGTGATCCTTCGCCTCCAAAACTTAGATAGACTCATTTTAAAGATGGATTTAACTTGGTAAAGAAAACAAGGAGACAGGTGGATGGTGACAGCAATGCGTTAGGGGAAAAACAGGGAGGGGGATGATATATCACTGTTTTATGTATTCAGTGGGAAAGTGCGTACCCTAGAGGAATGATGGCAATGAAGATTTTTCTAATGATAACAAAAGTTCACTCTCCTAATGGAAAATAAATCTGCTATTCTAGCAAAGCTTACTTCGAGGTTCAGCATGGCATTAATGACACCAGCACCAGCCAATAGTGAGTCTTTTCAGTGCCAACCGTCTTCTGCTCCAGCCCCAGAACGCCAAGCTGAATAATTCAGGAGTTTGTTTTAAACACTGGCATCATTCAGAACCACTGGCGTTTTGAAATGTTCTCCCCCCACACACACACCCAGAATTTTCCATACTGGCTTTTTGGACTTCTGCCGCATAAACGGGCAAACTGAAAGGATGGGCAGGAATTAGCCATAGAGCTAAAAAAAAAAATCCCCTTATGTTGAAAATGAGGCAATGTGGCTTAGCCAAATAAAAATTTGTAATTCTTACTGGCCCTATCACCTTGCAAACTTTGGATCTAGGACCAGGAAGAAGTGGGTTGATCTCACAAATGATGTAACAAGCAGGACAAGTAAATCACCCATAGGCCAGGAGTCCCTGTCATGAATTAGTTAACCCTGGGGACACACCCTTTGGAAACAACAAAAAGAAACCTTTATGCAAAAAAGCCTCCCTGGATGGCACTGGCTGGCTATAAATACTCTTAACTGCCAATATGGTTACAACTTTGGCGTGAGTTGAAGACTGAGGCTCTGGCACCAGAGAACTCAACATCTCTGACTTGAAGCCTGAGTTGGCCCATTAGGGTGATTGGAAAGCTGTGGTTGGTCTCAAAGCTCAGTGAGTTACAGATCTGCCCACAGCTTGCTTGCTCTCGTTCTGCAGGGGCAGCCTAGCCAGTTGTGAAGGTGAGTGACCCTTAGTTCTGGGGACATCTTGGAAAACTCAGAAAGGCAGAGGATTGTTGTTGTTCTCCCATAAGGAGAATCTGACAGAAAAGTATAGGTACAGAAATGTCCACAAATGAGTTGGTCATTTAAACAAGGGCATGTATTCCAATTTCTTCTCTGCAAATCATTTGCTATGGTTGTAACTTATTATTAAACTTTCTGTGACTGGCTGTTTCTTCTCAATGAACTGTCTATCTTAGCCTGAAAAAAAAAAAGAGAGTAAACTTTCTGGAAAATTCAAAAGAGAGGAAGGAGTATTTACTAGAATTTGCCATAGATTATTTTATCCACTCTTTAGAATAATCCCTGTTTCTGAAACAAATTCCATAAAATGAATGTTATGAAACACATTTTGTGGATGGAGAAACATCTTGCAGTTAAATAAATTGATCCAGACATGTATTAGTAGAGGTAGGATTTTAACCTAGGTCTCTGTGGTTCTAAAATCTTTACATGAGTGACCCCACTACACTGGAAATTTGATGTAGGCAAGCTCAGACCAGAGCTAGGTCCCCTTTTAGATCTTCGTTTATTACCATTTGCTGAAGGGGATGATTTCAAATATGGAGAATTGAGTGTATTTCCTCCTCACAATTAATTATTTCCCCCTCCCTGAATCATAAAGCAGCAGCAGATGGTCCTGTTGATGTAAGGTGAACAATTGTAGAATCTTGAAGGGCAGTATGAGTTGAATGCTTCCCCTTCTTCCAATAATAGTGTAAACCTAACACTCGTTAAGTAGAGGTACAGAGTTTCTGGGTGCTCACTGCTAATTGAAAGTTTGGAGGTTTGAGTCCACTAAGAGGCACCTTGGAGAAAAGTCGAGTGATCTATATTTTCAAAATAGCAATTGAAATGTCTGGAGTGCCCTAAGCTGATACTGTCTCAACAGAAACTGGTTTTAATTAGAGGTGTTGGAAACAAAGGCTGCAGAGGACTCTTCCAGTGAGGACTCTTCTCAGGCCCAGGGGGCCTACTAGGTCTTATTTGGTGGTCTCACTGAGTCATAAGGGTTCTTGCTGAGAGGTAAAGCTGCAAGTCCAGTGTTTTTCAGTTGGATTGTTTATATGACTTTGTAGAATTGAAGTCTGTATTCTTAAGGTCCCTAAATGCAACCCTCAAATAAAAGTAGGGGTTGCAATGCACTGATGAAGGACTCGTAAAGCTTACATTAAGTTTTTGTGTTGACTTGCTAACAAGCTAACCCTTTCGAGGCTGCCTCATTCTGAAAACTCTTCCTCAACCTTCCATAACAGTCCCTCCTTCCCTTTCCTCAACCTCACAGCAACCAGCATCTGAGTTGAAAGCCAGATAAGTGACGGGCTTTGCAGAGCTACAAAGATGGCTTGTCCCTGGAAGTTTCTGTTCAAGTCCAAATCCTCCCAGTATGACTTGTCTGAGATAAAGGACATCAACAACAACGTGGGGAAAATAGCTCATCTAACCTTCAGGTAAGCTGCTCCCCGCCACCACTTCCTGCTTATCTGGTCTCTACTTCCCTTTCCTCCCTCTGCGCCTCCGACTCCGAATTTCTCTCTCTGTTCCTGATCTCCCACTGGACTTCTCATGCCTTCAGCTACTTCCTGGTTGTCCTGGTTGGAGATTGACTCAGCCATTATTTACTGGACACCTCATTGTGCCTGCCACTGTATGTGTAAAGAAGGTGCATGGCCCATTCCTCCAGGAGCTTGAATCTCTAGGGAAGAATGTGGGCAGAGACATGAGAATGGGAGGTTGTTAGGGTCAAGTGCTTAGGACTAGGTTAAACTCCTGACTTCTGTCCTGATTCACCAGTGCTCATTGCTCAACAATTACTAGATAATCTGAATATCATCCTGGTGAAGAATACCTGGATGTGAGTTGGAATAATCAGATTGGAGCTCTGTATGAGGTGGCTCACTCGTTAGCCCTGCGTTGTCTTACCAGCAGTGTGACTTGGGTGAGTTACCCTCTCTGAGCCTCAGATGTTCTTATCTGCAGTATGGGAACATCGGTGGTACTCATCTCAAAGCAGGTTGATGATTACATGATAATGTGTATGTAAGGCACTTGGCAGCACGCCCAGCACACCTGTAGACATCAGGTAAACATTTGCTTTGATTTCCAACCTCTCCAGGGCCCTCTCTGTGATTATAGTAAACTGCTCATGCTTTGCCTCTCCTTGGATCTTCACAGTGGTTCTGAGAAGTACGTATTATTGATTCATTTTATTGATGAGGAAGTGGAGTTCTGGGAGAGTGAGGATTTCCCCAAGGTCAGGTGACCGCTAAATAGAGAGCTGGAATTTGCAAATGCCATTTGGACTCTTCATGCTCCCTAATGTCTGGCTTGTAGGAGAGCCAAGCTTTAGGTGGGATTGAGTGAATTAGTCAGTGAACACAGGCTTCCAGATTATGCCGAGCAGGCATCCACATTCTCTGTGGAAGATTGAATCTTAGGTAGAAATGCAAGTCAATCTGCAGTAATATGATATCAACCTGAGCCCCCCGTGGAGCTTCAGGGGCTTCTCAACACCAGGGGGTGCCCTCCCCACCACTGGCTACTCTCAGACGTGTGGACCCTGGAAGAAGGGGCGCCCCCTGGTGTTAGGAGGCATGGCGACCCTGAGCATACCTGTCAAAGGAAGCCAAATGCAGTGTAGTGTTGAGAACATGCACTTGCACTTGGGGACAGTTGAATGGTTTTGTCACTTAGTGGCTCAGTGATCTTTGTAAAATCCCCTAGCCTCTAAGCCTCAGTGTCCTCATCTCTAAGATGAGGGGTTTTGTGTTGTTATGTACCATCAAATGAGAACTGACTCAAAACTGACCCTCCAGCAGGTTTTCAGAGACAGCTAATCCCACAGGAGGAGAATGCTTATCTTTCTCCTGTAGAGTAGCTGGTGGATTCGAACCACCTGTGTTGTGGTAAATATCCAAGGAGTTTTCGTGTATGAATGGCTTAGCACCACGCTCGACCCAGAGTAAGTGCTCAAGAAATAGCATCAGCTGTGGTTGTCATCTTGTTATTGTTGGCAACTAGAGTGGGATTGAGTAATGTTAAACAGTGGCTTTTATGAGAGCTTCATAGAAATAATGTTGACTTGGTAGAGTGGGCAGAGTGTGGGGAGTGAAGAGAAGTAGCAAAGACGTTCCAGGAAGCAGGAGTCTGGACACCAGACTCAGAGACAGAATCAAGCATGACTGTACTTGGTTGGGGTGATGATAGAGATAAGGGCTGGGATAGAAAAGGCAAAGCCGGAGCATTGAAGGCTTGGTCATGAGGAAGGGGATTTCAACTCTGACGTTACTTTGGACATGTTACAAGGAAGGGCCAGTCCTTGGAGAAGGACGTCATGCTTGGGAGGGTGGAGGGACAGCGCAGGAGAGGAAGACCCTCCATGAGGTGGATTGATTCAGTGACTAGGGTAATGGGGGTAGGTGTGTGACAGTGAGATTGGCACAGGACAGAGCAGGGTTTAGGGCTGTTGTACAAAGGGCCACTATGAGTTGCAGGTGACTCGATAGCACATAACAATTGTTAACAACTGCTGGGCAATAGGGAGCGAGCAAGACAGTCCAGATATGGGAGGACTGGGATGAACTGGAGAAGAAAATGTTTGAAACTAGGCAGGTAGAGTTGTGGTAGCTGAAGTGGTAAAGCAACCAAGAGATGAGACTGCAAGGTCACTTGGCCCCTACATATCCTGCTGGTACCTCAGACTCAAAATGCCACAGACAGTGACTTCATCAATAGTCCATTCTGAGCATTCTCTGGGTTAGTCACTAAGTCCCATCTCTTTCTTCTCTCCAGCTCATTGCTGCAGTCTCTTAACAGCTTAGCCTCCTCAACTCCAGACTCTGCTTCTGCCCACCCTCCTTCAGCTGGGCTATAAACAAGTCACTCTCCTGCTCTAGAAACTGCAATGGCTCCCAATTGCCTGTCTCCATGTCAGGCTCAATTGTAGGAGTCTGTATAACCAATCTCCTGAAACAGAGAACACCCCCTTGCCCAGTCTAGCCATGCTCAATTTCCCAGTGCCTATCCAGATCACATTCATTCCTTGTTTCTTTAATCTCCTTTCTCCCTGAAACTTTACAGAGTTACTCACAGATTTTAGTCTTCAATCTCACACCTCCTATAACATAACGTACTGAGAACCAGCTCAGCTCTAGACTGTTGGGAGTACAAACTATACCACATTATATAGGCTTTCCCTGAGGACCTATTATGAGCTAGACTGTGAAAGGGACAGCAAAGAGACCCAGTTCCTGCTGTCAGAGAGGAAATGGGAGAAATGACACACATGTCACAGATTTGGGGAGGAGGACATGGAGAATGAGATGTTAACTTGCTTTATAAATTGATAGGGGATAATAGGTAGGCAACAGGACCCTGTGGGCTCAGTAACAGAAGTCCTGGGGAGAATGCAGAGATGCTCAGCCCGGCTGTGGTAAAGGGTAGGGAGGAGGGAGAAAAAGGCCTTTTGGGAGAGGTCAGACCTTTGAAAACAGTCACAGAAGAGGTGAGGAAGAGATTACTGGAAGAGGAAGCAGTAACACAACGGGGATTTTATCCTGAAACAATAGGAAGCAGAATAAATACACTTAGATTTTAAAAAGTGGTTTACAAATCAGTTTAGGACTAGTAAAGCCAGGAACCCACAAATGATTGCTGAATCTATGTTCAGCTTCAACAAATGATGTGTGTGTGTGTGTGTGTGTGTGTGTGTGTGTGTGTGTGTGTGAAAGAGAGAGAAAGAGAGACAGAGAGAGATGTGGGACCATGTAGGAAGAAGTTGTTGTAGTTGAGTACCATCAAGTCAGAACCCACCGTAGCTGACCCTCCAGTGAGTTTTCAGAAGCAGGTAAAGCACATGGGAGAAAATTGCCCACCTTTATCCCCCAGAGCAACTGATGACTTTGAACCACATACCTTTGAGCTGACAGCACAGTTTCTTGCCACTAAGCCACCAAGGTGGCTTAGTCTAAGACATTTGGAACACAGTTGAGCTACATGTTGCTAGCTGGGTTGTAACTGGCTCACTATAAATCCGTGCCCCCTTTGGTTAGCAGCACGACATGAGTTGGACTACACTGACAGAACTCTGTACCAGATACCTTCGTTGATTTCATTTCAATTTGGATTTGGGGTTAAATATTCTCAAATAGGACCAGAAGGGACCTGCACAGGTTGAGGGCAGAAGCATCACCATGCTTAGAAAATAAGGAGCGGTTTCTAGATGGAGGAGTCCCTGGATGTCTTGGTGAAGTAAGAATGAAAAGGCTGGGAAAGACTTGAGGTGGCTTCTGGCCCCCCTTTCCCAATGGTTAATAACAAAAAGTCACCCACACACACAAGAGAGCAGCAGGCTTGCACTTTCTTGCCTGCCTTTGTGGGGCCACAAAGAACACACAGAAAAGAAATAGCCCTTCTTGCCCCATTCCTGTGAGGCCGAGAGAGCTCGCGCTATCGTTCTGAGGTTGCTCTGTGATCTTGTGATCCCTAACCTCTCTGGGCCCCAATTATGGCAGCACAGCCTGAGGGAGTGGTGCTGCTAACCCAAAGGTCACACTTTTGGTGGCTGGAGTCTCCGCTCGAGAAAGATGAACAATCTGCTACTGTGCAATTTGCAGCTTTAGAAATCCTACGGAGGGTCTGATACGAGTCAATTCCCCCTGGAAAGCAATGATTTGGTTTTTAAAATCTTCCCCCCCAAATAAGGATAAAATAAAATTGCCTTCCTGGTCGAATGTAGTGTGCATAGATGAAATAATGGACAGGAAGGTTCACTTTGTAAACAATAAGGCACAGCACAGTGGGAGCTGATATCAAGATCATTGTTTTTCACCGGAAACAAACCAACCTAAGACCGTACATCACTCAGGCTGGAGAATGTCCAGTGGCATCAAATGGCAAACTTTTCCTGCGGTCGCCCACTGGGTGCCACTGAGTATGGAGCTCCCTTGGGATGGAAGAGAGGCAGTCTGGCAGCCTACAAGGCTGATACCCTGGACCAACGTGAAGCCCACTCGTGGCCGCAGCTCAGGCTCGCCCCGCCCCGGCGCGCAGGCGGGAAGCCATAAAGGAGCCGAGGTCCTGGGAGCCCGGAGCGCTCGGAGCTGCGCTGCGCCCGGGCCATGCGCGAGGGGCTGAGCGCTGCCTGCGAGGCCGTGCGGCCCCGGCTCTGCCGGCTCCTCCGCAGGATCCTCCGGCCACAGCCCTCCTGGCGACCCAGCCGAGTCAGGTACCCCCGCGGGGCCGGGGCTGCTGTGGGAGGGAGGAAGGGGTTCCGCGCCTGGTCTCCAGGTTCTCCACTGTGCGCTTACTGGTTGGGTGGTCTGCAGCTCAGCACTAAATTCTGAGTCCTAGAATATAAGGCTTGGAATATTCACCAGGTGGGATTATGATGAAGATTAGCTTTAAAAGTGTTTCTTGTTCCAAATGCAGTGCAGCTAGTGGTAGAGTCGGCTTCCATTCACAGCCCCTGATGTCCAACAGAAAAGTAAACTCTGCAGTTCTGAGCTGCCTTCACATTGTTGATATGCTTAAATCCATTGCTGCAGGCATTGTGTGGTTTGAATGCCTTCCACTCCTTCCCGGAGACTCATCTTCTCATCCTTCAGCGCTCCTTCTGATAATACTCTCTTTTGATCTATAGAGGTTTCACTGACTTTTTCTATTTTTAATCTATAGAGTTTTTCACTGATCTACTTACTGGGGATTAGATCTCCAGGCCTTTTTTCCTAGACGTAGTCTGGAAACTCTGCTGAAATCTATCCAGGAAAGGTGTCCCAAGGAGTATGTGAAATATACTGGTGGCCAGGCTTCTAGGACCACAGCAATATGCAGGCCATCAGAGTAACCACAAGCTGATGGTGATCATCAGAAAATGTAGAGATCATAATTCAGTAGCCACCAATACCCCAGGAAAGCCTGATTGCTGCTCCCATTATAGGCAGCAGCTATGCCAGTGAGTAGGAAGTGTGTCTGTTTCAGAACATCAGATTTTCTGCGGATTTGTCAGCTCAGGGGTCCCTACACCTTTTAGGACAGATAGAGTTAAGAGAGTGAAGAAGTTCTTGCCTGAAAAATAAGGCCCATTTCTGAAAATGGCCACTGCTCTCCTTGGTGTATGGAGGGGTAACAGAGTACACAGGGTGGGGACCACAGGGGAAGCAGAACCCCCCCCCCAAAAAACTCCATTTAGTTCCTAAAAGGCTTATGTGTAGTTTGGGGTCTAAGCAAGGCATTTCCCCAGTTCTCTCCCTTTTGGTGGCAAGCCTCCAACATTTCCTGAGTCCCCTTGGAGGACCAAGGAGGACTGAGTATGGCTGGTGATTTAACCAAATTGCTTCAGTGTCCAAATAAACATGACAGTAACTTGCAACAACTACCTATACTGGTGCTTCAAATCCACCAGCTGCTTCACAGGATTAAAATGGACAATCGCCTCTTTTTCAGTACACAACCTCGGAACCTATTGGAGGATCAACTATGAGTTGAATCTGATTCTGCCTGGCCCTTGGATTTATCTGGGTCTTTAATATTCACGCTTGGCAGCTGACCACCACACTGCCTAGCAGCAAGGCCAAGGAACTGGCTGACTGGGAGGAGCAGGATTAGGGGCTGTCATGGTTATTAACTTTGCAATTTATAAAAATACTGCCAATTATGAAAGTAATTTGTAATCACTGTAAAAGGTGGAAGATGCAGGCAAGTTCAAAGAAAAAGAAAAACCTTCCATGATACCATCATTCAGTGCTAAAAGTGAGTAGTACTTTCCTCCCAGGCTTTTGTCTGTGCTGTGTGTGTGCATGTGTGCGCACACACAGAACCAGCATCAAATCATCTATAGTCGTGATATCATGTCAAATACGGCACATCTGGATGGTGGATTTTCAGGAAGTTGTTAAAAATGATACTTTTGAATATTTTAAGGAAATGGTTATATTAAATTTACGAAAACATTGTGACCTATAAGCTCCACTTCTCCGACTCGATCCCCAGAAGAAAGTTGGAGGAAGCAAGTATGGATTCCAGTTTGGCCTTGGAATGAGGGGAGATGAAGATTGAGAGGAGCAGAAAGGTGTGGCCTCAGTGGGGACCTGGTCTGCAATCATCTTCCAGTTTAAGCAGCCCTTGATGCTGAGCTGTGGCTTACCTGTTCTAAACATCAGTATTACTCTCTATTTCATTGTCTTTATACATGTGAATGTATGTTTTTGTTTTTATTTCTTTTTCTGTTGGCCACCCCAATCCAAGAGGACGATGAAAAAAAAATTCTTCTATTTAACACACCCGGTTCCCACCTACTGCCAGTGAATCCGTTTTGATGCATAGCCAGCCTATAGGACAGAGCAGAATGGCCCCATTGGGTTTCCAAGGCGATGAATCTTTATGGACACAGACCATTATATCTTTCTCTCGTGGATCAACTGGTGGGTTCAAACCATCCACCTTTCAGTTAGTAGTTGAGCACTTAACTACCATGCCATTCACCAAATGAGGATGCTGACAGCTCAAAAGATTTGACAGAAACCTCAGCAGGCAGTGAGATTGTGTAAGAGGGGAAGAATCACTCAGAAAAATGGGAGTGAGAATGGCTGGACAATGCAAAGACTGGAATCAGTGTCACTGAATAGTAGGTGTAGAAATGGTTGGATTGGGGCATGTTTTGGTGGTGGTGCATCAATTCTCAATGACAACAGAACGAGCGAAAATTTAGGGGGGAAATAGGATTCTGGCAGTGAAGACATCTTGGCCTCCTGAGGCTCTCTGACACTGGAGCTCATGATAATTGTTTCCCTCTGCAGTCCGGGAACACAGGATGACCCCAAGCCTCACAGCTTCGACAAGCCCTGGAATGAGTCCTCCTCACCCTTCACAGGGACGGAGCAGGTCAGTGGGTCACAGGGGTGAGGGAATCCCCTTCATCCCTCTCCCAGGCAGATGAAGGCTGAGCAACCTGGTGGAGGTTGGGCTGAGGGCGGAAGTGGGGTTTTGGAAGCAAGTGAGGAGCCTCAGTGAGGTGGGGGGGGGCACAGGTGGGAGTTAGAGAGGACTTTGGGAGAGCAGGATAATCCAGGATGGTCTAGGGGGTGGTCCCTAAGGTCTGTTGGTCACTAGATGGTTTCCCTGTGTCGGCTGAGAGGCACAGATTAGTGGGAGTGATCCAGATTGTGCATGGAGCCAGGAGCTGTTGTTGTTAGGTACCATAGGTCATCCACAGCCCACACAGCAGATCTGTGCCCTGCGCTGCCCTTTGCCACCCATATCACCCCTGAGCCCATTGTGACAGTCACTGTGTCATTCCATCATGTTGAGGCTCTTCCTCTCTTTCATTGACCCTCGACCTTTCCCAGCATGATGTCTTTTTCCAATGACTAGCCCCCCTGATAACATGCCTAAGTATAAGGGATGATGTTTCACTATTCTTGCCTCTAAGCAGCACCCTGGTTGCACTTTCTCATATATTGGTTGTTTTGACAGTCTATGGAATACTCAGCCCTCTTCTCTAACACCATAATTCAAAAGCACCGATTCTTCTTGTGTTGTCCTTAATCATTGTCCAACTTTCAGATGCATAGCAAGTAATTTAAAAGACCCTGGGTTGGAGGCGCACCTTGGTCTTTAAATTGGAGCCTACAGTAGCTGTTGCTGTTAGGTCATGTCAAGTAAAGCATGACCTTATGAACAACAGACCTGATCTTGTCATTTCCTGTGTAGGACACCCCAAAACAATCCCAGGCTTAGTGGCTGAGCCTTTGTGCAAACTCCATTTCTCAAACACCCTCTGCCCTATGTGCTTTCAACCCCAGTGTTCCAGAGAGTGCACGTAGAGGCAGGTGGAGGTGGAAGAGGTGATGGTTTTCGTAATTGTAAATACCTCCAGGGAAGGCAGCAGTCTTCCTTGGCCTGACTTCTATTCTTCGCAATATTGGCAGTAGTCTCTGTCCCTCACATCTAACCATAGTCCCTCCTGCTGCAGTTTGAAGAACCATTTGATGGGAGTATTAGGTGAGAAGGGGAGCTTTGGTGGCATGGTGGTTAAAGTGTTCAGTTGCTAACCTAACGTGTGGTGTTTTGAATCCACCAGCTGCTCTGAGGTAGAATGATACAGTTCCCTGCTTTGGTGAGGATTTACAGCCTTGGAGACCCTGGGGGGCAGTTCTGCTCCATCCTGTAGGGCAGCTATGAGCTGGAGTTGATTTGCTGGCAGTATGATGGGCTTGGTTTGAGTTAGATTAGGGGAGGAGCCTCAGGCATGGCCTGGGCATTGGGAGGTCTTAGTAGGCACGGGCCCAGGTGGCTGAGCTGAGAAAGGGAAGAAGTGCATGGAGTACAAGTCTGCTCTGTGTGCCCACCCATAGCTTCCCACCCAACTCAAGCCAAAGCAGGCCCAAGGGGTTGAGAGAGATGCCTCGGGATTGGGGACATCTGGAAACCCTGTTTATTTTTCTACTTCTCAAAAGTCTCCAGCATCCCGAGTCCAGCTGGTTGAACCCCCATCGGCCTGTCCACGGCACGTGAGGATCAAAAACTGGGGCAGTGGCATGACTTTTCAGGACACACTTCACCACAAGGCCAGCGCGGTGAGAATCTGGGGCTTCAGTGAGGACCCCTTACCCCAGGCTGGTGAAGCCACTGTCACCCCTGGGGACCAAACACATGCTCTTCCACCCTTTAGGTAAAGCAATCATCTGCGTGGGTAAAGAGAATTTGAAACAGCAATACCTTTTCTCACAAAAGACAATAGCAAGTAAATTATGTCCCCTCTCTATTAACCACCCTAATGAATAGTGGATAAGCCACAGAAATCAGATAGACCATCACAGGCACCAATGAGTATCTTTCTTAGAATGACAGATTTCAGTATAATAGCAGCAGGATTTCTCCAAGACAAGTGCTTAAAGCCTGACTGAAGGTAGTGAGCTCCCTGTCTCTGGAAGGATTCAAGACCTCTTTGTCAGGGAGATCAGAAAGGAGTTCGTGCATCAAGTACGTGGTTAGATTAGTGCCGCTTGAGGCTCCTTTCTATCTTGTAAGTTTCTTGTTCTAGTTTTAGAATGTTTTCTGTGGTTTTAAAGTAGATAAGAATGGAGTATTTCACTTCCGTGAAAGCAGAATGGCTTTCCACGCCTCCCTGAAACCACTAACCACAGGTAACCTCTCAGTATTCTTCCTCCCAGCATTTTCCTCTGTGCAGTCCTGTGACCCTGCTCTTTTTTTTGCTGCACGCCAGCTGTGCGTTCCCATAAGAGGCACTGTCAGCCTCTTTTAGTGAGAGGACAGCCCAGAGACTGAGCCATTGAACTTTCTGAGTCTGAGGCCAACGGGGGAGCAGGGCCTGGGACTGAACCCCAGCCTCCACTCATACCCAGTGGGGTACAGGCTGTGAAAGAGAAGACATTTGGATGAGGAAAGCCTGGTGGACTGCAAGGAGGAGGAGCAGGAGAAGTGAAAAGCAGAACAACCAGAATAAGGAGAGGAGGCCGGAGAAGCTGACCCCTGGGATGATAGGCATGAACACCTGCCCTTTGGATCAACCAGCCTGTTCTTACCTCATGTTTTCTCTTCCTAGAATCTTGCTTGCAAATCCAAGACTTGCCAGGGGGCCCTCATGAGCCCCAAAAGTTTCACCAGAGGACCGAGGGACAAGGCTACGCCCCCGGATGAGCTTCTACCTCAAGCTATTGAATTTGTCAACCAGTATTACAACTCCTTCAAAGAGTAAGGCTCGCTTGGGGCAATCCTTCCTCAGTTCTCCTCACCTTCAGCCACTTCCCACTGATTTTAGTCTCGTTTTCTTCTCAGATTCCCAGTGGTTCCAAGGAAAAAGGTCCCAGAGTAGGTTGTCATAACTGTGGGACAATGAGACAGAATAATAGTAGCTAAAAGAATGACTTCAGAGTGTAACTATTAGGCTTTGAGCCCTGATTCCTTTGTTAACTAGCCCTATGTTGTTGTTATATTGTTAAGTGCCATCAAGTCATAGGCGACTCATAGCAACCCTATGAACAAAAAACCTGGACACCTGTATAACTTTCATTGTATCTCCAGGTTCATAGGGTTTCCAGAGGCAAGCTATTATGGAAGTGGATGTCACTCCTGCTTCCAAGCTTGTTTTAATCAGGGAGTTCCACCAAACATTGTCCACCATGGGTAACCATTCTCGCATTTGACTCATCAGTGTCACAGTGCTAGGCTTCACAGCAACCACGAGTTACCTCTGTACAGCAAGTGGACACACCAGGGCTATACGACCTAGAAGGATGTTTCACCAAAAACAACTAGCCCTATATAATCAGGAAATCTGAGTACCTTCTCAGTAACTCATATTTCTCATCTTATAAAGGATGAGGAAGATAATGATAGAACATGGCTTATGAGATTGTTGTGGGCAATTTCCCTCTCTGTGTCTCCATTTTCTTATCTAAAAACCAAGGTAATGATAGTATCTACCATACAGGAGTTTATAATAAAAATTGACCGAAAGTAAAACAGAGTCCTAAGCATAATGCTTGGCCTATAGTAAGCACAATCCTATCAAGCTTAGAACAACTATTCCAGCCAAATTAAATATGATCGTTGTAAAGAAGTCCTGCTGGCACAGTGATTAAAGCACTCAGGTGCTGAAGGAAAGACTGGCAGTTCATACCCACCAGAAAATGTGGCTGGCTGCTTCCGGAAAGATTTACGGCCTTGGAAACCCAATGGGATGTTTCTCCTCTGTCATGTCGCTATGAGTCACAGTCCGTGTAATAACAATGACTTGTGTCATTTAAAACCAGTTGCCATAGGCTTCAAAATCATGGAGACCCTGCATGGGTCAGAGTAGAGCTGGGCTCCGGGGGGCTTCATGGCTGACTTTCTCAAAGTAGATGGCGAGGCCTTTTTCCAGGTCACCTCGGATTTGCAGTTGAGCACGTTACCATTTGTAAAACCCAGGGAACTACTCATCGTAATAACTTTTGTTGTTGTTATTGTGTGCCGTTAAGTGGAAACTGGCTCATAGCAGACCCTCCAGTGGTCTTAAGAGACAGTAACTCACACAGGACGAGACTGCCCATCTTTCTCCCACAAAACAGCTGGTGGATTTGAACCACATACCTTTGGGATTCCAGCGCAGCTTCTTAGCACTAGACCATCAGATTCTTTATGACATAACAACTTTCAGTACCTCCAAAAGGTGACTTTATGAAAAGAGTGGGGGGAAAGACAAAACTCTGTAGGAATTGGGTATGAATAGTAAAAAAAAACAAAAACAATAACCAAACACCCAAAACCAAAGAAACCAACCACAAAACCACAAACATAAAAACCACCCCATTTCTGAGAGTGTTACACCACGTGTATGATGAGGATGATTAATGTTTTCATATTGGGGTTGGGGAGGGGTGCAGTGCTGCTGTAGTGTTTTGGGGCAGCATCACCCTCACCCAGCAGCTCCTCATGCCTGGGTGTCCTTGAGGATAATTATCATCGAGTGTTTTGTCTTTGTACTATTTTTTTCCCCTTTTAATCAAGGAGAGATGTTGAGACACTCTTCATCCACAGAAAGACCATTTTGTTCTGAGTTTTCCACTGTCCTTAATCAGGAGTTCATTCCTTAAATAGTTTGTTGCTGTTTCAAAATCTTTGGTGGAGATTGGACATCTCAAAGTCTCTTTCTGTGTGTGTGTGTGTTTGCTTCAAAGCCTCTCTGACTGAATCCCTCCTATTTATTGAGGGATATGGGACGAATTCCATATGGAACTGCTGGAGCAGTAGCGCTGTTTTGGGAATGAAGAACAGCATGATTTAAGACCACAATGTGGGGACTGTGGGGAGCACCTCCCTGGGCTGGTCCTTAAGGAGGTTTCCAGGTGGTCTGATTGGGCCCTTAAGAAAATACAAGTAGACACTTGGTGTGTCAGTGACTGAAGTCCCCCTGAAGAATATAGCAAGAATTAAGAGCCAAGGATCAGCATCAAGGTGACATCCGAGTCTGGGCTCTGCCCGTGACCTCAGTCATGTTCCTGGCCTGGTACTCAACCCTGTAGAGCCTGGATAGGGACTCGGGCTGTGTAGTTTGTAGAGAGTTACGCTGCTAACCCAAAGGAGTACCTCTGGCAACTTTAATCCAGCAGCGAAAGATGGGCGAGCTCCTCCCAGGCAGTTTTACAGCCTTTGAGAACCTGCCAGAGAGTCAGCTCTGAGTCAGTTCCAACTCAGTGCCAATGAGCTTGACAGGTTTTTGGCTTCTTTTTTTTTTTTTTTTTAAGAGTCTTGTTGCCTTTGACTATAAAATTAATACCATAAAGCCTCCCTCACAGACTCATGAGTTTCAGTAAGTACCAGACTCGCAGTAGCTGTGGTGGGAGGGCTGGTTTGCTGTCTCTTCGCCCAACCAGAACCAAATCCTCTGCCAACTGAGTCAATTCCAGAGACTCATAGCAACCTCCATTGGGTTTCCAAGGTTGTAAATCTTTAAGGGAAGAGACTGCTCGTTTTTCTCCTGCAGTGGATTCGAACCACTGACCTTTTGGTTAACAGTGCAATACATAGCCCACTACACCACATGAGCTCCTTCTCTCTTAGCCAGGGCTTCCCATACTCAGAGGTGAAACACTGCTATTAACTAATGGGAAGCTCCTCTGAATCTCGCCTGTGTCTGAGGTGAACTGTACCCCACACTCCTGTTCAAGCTAAGATGATGCGATTAAAGGAGAGCCACCTGGAAATACCAGGGTTCCAAAATTTTCAGGATCCAGTGCGCAATGAAAATGCAAGCTCTTCTTTCTTTAAAAGCTCATTACATATTTCAAGATGATGACAGCAAAGCATAAACCAAGGTCAGGAGCTTCTGAAACACAAGCACGGGTTCCTTACACCAGCGGGGCCCAGGCAGTCTCTGGTGGGAGAAGTCTCGCCCTCCCAGGCTCCTTCCTCAGTTCCTGCTTCTGCAGATTGCATTAATCCCCATTTAAGGCCATCTCATTGTTGATCTTCTGGTTGTCTTCCTGTCCCCCAGGGCAAAAATAGAGGAACATCTGGCCAGGGTGGAAGCAGTAACAAAGGAGATCGAAACAACAGGAACCTACCAGCTGACAGGCGATGAGCTCATCTTTGCCACCAAGCAGGCCTGGCGCAATGCCCCCCGCTGCATCGGCAGGATCCAGTGGTCCAACCTACAGGTGACCTTCCTTAGACCCAAGTGGATGCGGAAGCTGGGGAGGCGGTTGACCCAGATGATGACCCAGGATAGTCAAGCAGGGCTGTGCTCAGAGGTGCTCAAAGAATCTAGGAAAAACCGTTTCCAAACTTGGCAGCTATCTGAAAAGCTGGAGGTTCAAGTCCACCTAGAGGTGCCTCAGAAGAAAGACCTGGAATCTTTTCCTGGTCAATCTATTTCTGAAATGCCAGCCTCTGAAAACCTTATCGGGTACATTCTAATTTGACATACATGGGGTCACTAATAGTCAGAATTTATTTGAAAACCCTATTTCTTCTTTTGTTTTTCAATTGTTTTTTTTTTTTTAAATCTAGATGTCTAGAATTCTGTTTGGGCACTGGGGTTTCTGGCTGAATATTCTCTCTTGTGTTAAAATCAGGAGTCTAAGAACCATTTTAAAAACAAAGTGAAACAGAAACAACAAACCCCAGACAACCTTGCTTCAGTTATTATTGAGGTCTTGATGCCATGAGAGAGGTTGTTTGTTGACTTTAAATGTTTGAATTCTTGGCCTCTGGAGGACATTTTATTTATCGTAGCTTCTAGGCCATCTTTCCACTGGTGGTCATTTATCACCGGATAATATCAAAAGCACTTGACAGAGAAATGGGTTAGAAATGTCAATGAAACCAACTCAGGCTGTGTCATTGGTACCAGGCTGGGACAACAGAGATTTCCATTCATGAGGCTTTACAATCAGGTTGCGTTTTTTAATTGGGTTTTGTTATTTATTAGAGTTTTCCAGGATTTGCCTTTGGAAGCAAACAAAGTTCAGGAAAGTAGAGAGAATGACTGGGAGAGTCATAGATGGGAGGGGGTAGGTGCAGAGAGGAAAATACACTTGTCAGTCTGGTATCTGAGTCTCTGGGTGGTGCCAACGCAGCTGCTAATTAAAAAGCTAGAGGTTCGAGACTACCCAGGGGCTCCTTGTAAGAAAGGCCAGTGATCTACTTTTAGTCATCAGATACTGAAAAGCCTGTGGAGCTCATGTGTCCTCTGATAGACATGGTTCCATGAGGTGGAATTAGCTCAATAGCACGTGGTTTATCACCTGGTGGCCAAGGACTGGGTATTGAGGCTGTTCCCCTCAGCTTTGATGACTTCCTGGCTTCTGGAGGCACTTGAGGCCTCTGTCCCTACAGTCCCTGATGGAACTTAGTTCTGGTGGGTTGTCTGCAGGTCTTTGACGCCCGGAACTGTACCACAGCCAAGGAAATGTTTGAGCACATCTGCAGACATCTGCGTTACTCCACCAACCAGGGCAACATCAGGTGGGTGCCCCTTACCCGAGGCTATGGCTTGGTCTGTGTGCCCCGGAATCTTAGACAAATGATGCAGGTGGATTTAGGGGAGACATCTCAGAAACCAGGGAGAAAGAGAAAGGAGCTTCAGTTCCTCTTCAAGGGTCCCTAATAATGAGTGGATATAAGCCCACTTCCTAGATTCTTTCTGACTTTAAGCCACTTGGAGGGAGTAGTGGATCTTTAAGAAGCAACATCTCTACTCCTTAGAGTTAGGAATCTCCATTTTTAGAAAAGGATTGCAGGTTGGTTTCCCAGCAAATGGTTCTTGTGCTTTTCTTGGAGGTGGGAGACCCCTGGCCCATCAGCATGCCCGGTCACCACTCCTCGGCCAAAGGAGCCAAGGCTGAAGGACTCATAAGACTCTTCATCCTTTGTTCAGCAGACACTTAATACCCACCAAAAGGGAACTCCGCATAAGGCTGGCTGACTGGGGGAGATGCAGGGGAAGCCTCCTAAAATTATTAGGACCCCAAGACCCCACTTCAGCTCTCTAACTTGACTTCCGTGGAAGGCAGGAAGTACGCAGCTCAGGAAAGGGCTGTGGAAGGCTGCTAACTCACCTGAGAGGTGGGGGGCTTTCCAGAGTGGGAGTCCTTACTCTGGCCGAGAAGAGAGCGTAGGAGCTGGAGAGTGAATGAGAAAGAGGGAAAGTCAGGAAACGCGGCAGTTTCCAGGAAGGCCAGAGAGAAGGTGGCATGCTGGGAGCTGCAGGTGTTCTAGTCCACTTGGGTGCTGGGGTGGTGGACCTGAGAAAGTAGAGGGGGATTGAGGCAGAGAGCGGGGTGGAACCTCCATGGAGGTCACGTGCTAAACAGCTCTGTCCTGTCCTGGTGAAGGTCAGCCATCACCGTGTTCCCTCCGCGGAGTGACGGGAAACACGACTTTCGGGTGTGGAATGCTCAGCTCATCCGCTATGCGGGTTACCAGATGCCTGACGGCACCATTATAGGAGACCCTGCCTGCGTGGAGTTCACCCAGGTACCGGGCCAGCCCCCGTCTGGGCTCTCAGGCAGGGAATCGGGCGGTGGGCACCAGAGGGGGCCTGGAGACCTTGGAGTTTCTGGAGACGTGGGCTCACTAGGCCTGTTGCCCCTCTAGCTGTGCATCGACCTGGGCTGGAAACCCAAGTACGGCCGCTTTGACGTGATGCCTCTGGTCCTGCAAGCGAACGGTGGTGACCCTGAGCTCTTTGAAATCCCCCCTGACCTTGTACTCGAAGTATCCATGGAGCACCCCAAGTAAGTGAGCTCGGGTGCTGGGGATATGAGGTTACAGACATGTTCTTCTTTCCTGTGGTCACCCCGCTGATATTCCTTCAGGCCAGGCAGCATCAGGGACACCTGGTGGCTGGGGAGCGGGCTTTTTGCACTGAGTCTGCCCATCTCATTAGGCCTCCAGATTTAGGTCGGTGTGTGGATGGTGAGAAGGAAGCAAGGCTTAGGAAGCAATGACCTCAGGAGATAGACTCTTCAAAGTCTTCAGATTCTCATGAAGTGTCGCCCAGGACTCTTATGACCCCCTCAGCAATCATTTATGACTAGCCCACTGAGCCCCTCAGCTGTCCCTCCCACAGACCCCCTTAGCTATCCCTCTCCTCACTGTAGAAGATCAGCAGTGACTTAAGAGTTTACCCAATTCAACCTTGCTCCAGGCAGCTCCCTTGGTTACAAACATGCTCCAGACATTGAAATGTACTATCATCCAGAAATTGGGCCAGACTTTTCTTTTTGTCCCTTGAATATAAAATCTCAGTCCTACCTCAGGGTCTTTGCACTTGCTGTCCCCTCAACTGACATACCTTTTCTCAATATTTTCCATGTTTCATTGATTCTTGACAATGAGGTATTTCCTAAAATGTCATCTCCTCAGAAAAGCTTTCTCGTGACCACCAAAGCTCTCCCTCCCCTAACTTGTTTCTCTTTATTTACCTTATTATATTCTAGAGTCTATACACACTCCAAGAATAGAGATCTTACCTTTTTTTGTTCACCAATATATTCCCAACACCAACTCAGTAAATACTTGTGGGATAAATGAATATAAAAATGAATTCATATGAACTGGCTCCTTTAGCTACATTATAATCCCATGGGTTTGATACCGTTGTCTCTATTTTGCTGATGAAGAAATGGAGGCTTAGAGAATCTAAGTAACCTCCCAGGTCACGCCGATAATAAGTGATGAGACAGGGCTTGAACCCAGGCTTTGTGGTGCTAAAGCCTTTAACCACTATGTTATGCTTGAGTCTCAGCTTTTAGCTGAGTGCCTGGCACGTACTTGGTGCTTAATATATATTCCCACAAATGAATAAATGAACAAATGCTTAAATAAATGAATAGGGAGAAGGTTCCAAATTTACCTCTGAGAGACTAATTTAGAGGTCAACTCCTGGAAATGTTTTCTCAGTTGATTCTTTTTTCCTAAAGGTAAGTGTATGTGTGTGACACTATGGGCAAAGTGAAAGCTCTGCCCGTGACTGGCTCTGTCCTCTGACAGGTATGAGTGGTTTCAGGAGCTGGGGCTGAAGTGGTATGCCCTGCCGGCCGTGGCCAATATGCTGCTTGAAGTGGGTGGCCTTGAATTCCCGGGGTGCCCTTTCAATGGCTGGTACATGGGCACAGAGATTGGAGTCCGGGACTTCTGTGACGTCCAGCGCTACAATATCCTAGAGGTAAGGAGGGCCCCCAGGCTGTCTGGAGGGTGTGGTGTTGGTGAGAGAGAGTCGCATGGACTGCCTCAGCCGCATTTTTCTGCCTCTCTCTGCCTCTGCAGGAAGTGGGCAGAAGGATGGGCCTAGAAACACACAAGCTGGCCTCGCTCTGGAAAGATCGGGCTGTCATCGAGATCAACGTGGCTGTGCTCCACAGCTTCCAGGTACACCTGAAGTTTTTCAGATCGGAAGGCGTTCTGATTGAAAAGCCATAGTTCTTGACTTTCTGCATGTGCACAAGTGTATTGCTGTTTCTATTTAGGATTGTACATGGGGTAGAAAGTCCTGAAGGTTCTTGGGTGCAGGGTTGCCGCTGTCCACCCAGCCCTCTCCCACGCCACACTGTTCTGGACCTCAGCAGAAGTGGACAGGAAGCATCTCTTGTCCACAGTTACCTTAGTTTCTCATGCAAAGAACCATCTTACAGATGCGAAAGCAGGGACTCTACACTAGACTAGAAGCCCCTACATATCAGATCACACTGCCCACCCACTTTTTCTGATTGGCGGATCATTAGATTACAAATGACTTACCTATCAGATCCTTAATTTGAGCCTGGTGACAATAGCTAAGCGCCTGGCTACTAACCAGACTTAAAGTCCATCCACTGGTTCTGTGGGAGCAAGCCTTCTGTGGGATCTGCTTCTGTAAGGAATGCAGCTGAGAAGACCTTATGATCATCGACACCACACACATGAGGGAACTAGGAGTCAGAACTGACTTGACAGCACCTAACAACAACACTCTTCATCTACAAATACTTTAATATTACGATTCCTTTTTAATCTATTATATATCCATAAATATTTTGAGATCAAGTTCAGAAAGCACATGTTATAAAGTAGTGTTGTCTAAGGATTATAAATACAGATCAACACTATTAAACATGCAAATCAAAGCAGAATGACAAGAGTAGGGGAAGAGCAAATAGGATGCACAAAATCCTACACAGTTATATTGGTTGGGCTTCCAGTTTAAAGATGCAGAAATCATAGTTGATTATGTGGTTTTTCCTGTCTAAATGGAATAAACAAAGACAATAATTTAGAAGAATCAACATGTTACCTATTTCTTAAAAATAAAATCTGTATTATCATATAAACTTCATAGAGGGGACACCAAGAGATGTCACACATATTGCACTCTACACTGTGTGGCTCGCTTGCGCTAGTTTGGATTTTTTTCCTTGGTGCAAGCAAATGTGTGTGGGCTTTGGAATCAGACAGACCTGGGTTGGAGTATCAGCTGTGAAAATTCTGGTGAATTAGGTGGTTTCCTTGAGCTCCATTTCCTCAACTGTGAAATGGAGCTAATAATGACTGACCGGGGCTCTGATTTTAGCAGATAGACTTGATCAAAGGGCAGGACTCCAGATACTCTGGGCATTTCCCAGGAAGGCTTTTAAAGAAACACATGTCCACACATGCACACATTTACTTAGCCATGCAGAAACACATGCGTGCAAACATACATACACATCACATGCACTGCACATCACATGCACATGCACAGCTTGCATTTCCTTGCTGAATCACCCTGACTAGATTAAAAAATTAACTCCTCCCAATGAACAAGATCCTGGAGACATTTAATGATCACGCTTTTTTAAACAGCAGTCGCCTGAATTGAATCTGTTTCAGAAGCTCTTGAGAAGCTTTAGAGAGGTCTGGTGGCCAATTGGGTAAGGAGTTGTGCTGCCAACTCAAAGGCAGACAGTTCAAATCTACCAGCTACTCTGTGGAAGGAAGATGGACAGTCTTCTCCCGTGTGATTTCCTGTCTCTGAAAACCCGCTGAAGGGCCAGCTATGGATCAGTCTGTCTCACTGGCAATGAGGAGGAGGAGGAGGAGGAGGAGTGATGTGTTAAGGTCTCTGGGTTGTGCAAACGATGCACCTTAAAAGTTGGTAGTTCACACCCATTCAGTGGGACCACAGAAGAAAGACCTGGCAACCTTAATGATTATAGCCAAGATAGCCCTGTGGAGCAGGTCTAACCTGACACATATGAGGCTGCTTTGGGTTGGAATTGACTTCAACAAGAGTGGGTTTGGAGATGTTTTTCATACACGTTTCCCATGCCTGGACAAAAACCTTTGAGAAGCAGAGAGGCTGGCGTGTGTCATATTCCGACACACGGACATGGCCTATTCTCCCACTGACATGCTCACTAGGCCAGAAGAATGGGAGTGGAGAGGGGCATCTGAGAACAAGCTCAGATGCAACAGGAAGAGCCCCCTGGGGCCGGCCCAGCTCAGGAAGGGCTGGCCATGGACCACACATCCTGAGTCCTGGGGACTCCCAGCACCAGCCCTCACACTGTCAGGATGCGGATGTATCCCAGATAACTCTGATCCACAGCCATCTCCTGACCTGCGATGGCCTCGCCCCTGCTTCCAGGACTTCAGGACTTCCTTGTCACTCGCCTTCAGGATAAACTTCAAAAGATGAGGCTTTGTTACCTCCTCTGTGAAATAGGATAATAATATTAATACTTTTCCTCAGCAGGTTATTGTATAGATTCAATGAAACAGTATGCAGAATGTTTACGCTGCGTGGTCCATAGGGAACACTGAGTAGGCATCCATTATCAGTCCTAATGGTGATGATGCCATGTGAGCCAATCATGGCCTTAGTGTTTCTAGGGCTTCTTCAGAAGCTCTGGATGAGCTGTCCATGAGGGTACTTAAGGGCTGGGGGCACTTGCTTTCCTCTCCATTTTAATGACTGCCAGGCTTTCCCCTTGGAAACCTAAGGGTTTCCCCTACCCCCTAAGGGTCACTCTCCTGATGTCCCACTCTATGCCTCAACTCCCCTTTTTGCTTTCTCTTCTTATTCAGAAGCAGAATGTGACCATCATGGACCACCACTCAGCTGCAGAGTCCTTCATGAAGTACATGCAGAATGAGTACCGCTCCCGTGGGGGCTGCCCAGCAGACTGGGTCTGGCTGGTGCCCCCAATTTCTGGAAGCATCACCCCCGTGTTTCACCAGGAAATGTTGAACTATATCCTGTCCCCTTTCTACTATTATCAGGTAAGGGAAGGTCTTCTGCTTCTTCTCCTGGGAGCTCAGGTGTAGAGGGAGTGTGTTTGTATGTGCCTGTTTGCATGTGCACGTGTGAGTGTGTGCATGCATCTGTGTATGCGTATGCATGTGTGAGTGTGTGCATGCATCTGTGTATGCGTATGCACGTGTGAGTGTGTGCATGCATCTGTGTGTGCACATCTCCGTGTGCAGGTGCACGTGTGCATATGCGTATGCATGGGGGGGCGGTGCATGCTCACCATTGCAAGGGATATGGCAAGGCAATCGGAACAGGGGGCTGTATTTTTAGCATTTCAGGACCCACCTAAGGACATTGACCAAATTTCATCCATTTTAGTGAAGGGTAGGACTTGAGGAAATGGGTTTTTTTATCCTATATTTAATGGTCTGTTGCTCTAAGGGAGTCTAAGCTCCCCAGGGTGCCCATCACTGCATCTGCTTCCACAAGAGGGGCTAGTTAACAGTCATGTGACATAACAAGGGCAAGCTTAGTCCCTGAAACAGACATGCGTGGGCTTGATTCTGCCATCTCTAGCTGGATGATTTTAGGTGGAGCTTTCACCTTCCTTAGCCCTGCTTTTCTTTGTTATGCTTTGTTATTCTACAGATTATAAGCAAGGTAACTAGTTCCAGGCTTGGAAAATTATATAGAGTTATATAATATTATACATAGAAGTATATATAATTTTTATTGTTATTTTAATGAAAGTTTACAGAAAACTTGGATTTCCATTCATTCACTGTTGCATATTTTCTTCTCTATCCCCACCCCGAGTTCGCTTTTCTTTTTAATTCATTGTTGCACAGTTTCCTCCCTCCTGCCCATCCAGCCCTCCCTGTTATGCACCTCTTCTTTTGGACTGTTATATGCAGATAATTCCTAATCACATATTCCTTTTAAACAGTTATTTCCCTCATCTATTCCAATGCAGGGTTCATTCATTATTTACTTCCTCTTTTCTTAGTTTTCCCCCAACCCTCAGTATCAAGCCTGTTTTATAACAGTGGCATTACATAGTATTTGTCTTTTTGTGACAGATGTTTCACTCAGCATAATGTTCTCCAGGGTCACCCATTTTGTATATTTTATGAGTTCTTTGTTTTTCAGTGCTGTGTAATATTCCATTGTGTGAATATACCACAGCTTCTTTCTCCATCCATTTGTTGACAGGCATTTGGTTGCTTCTCTCTCTTTGCTATTGTGAACACACAGCAATAACCATGGCTGTGCAGTTCCTTTTCTAATGTCCAAAGTGTCCTAGTGTGGACTATGTATTATATATGCTTCATAGTCTTCCATATGGATTTTAACTCAATATCAAGAGAACAAAGATTCTCACCATTGGGCCAATTGTCAGCTTCATGATAGATGGTAAAGGGATTGAGATTGTTAATAATTTCAGCTTGCTTGGTTCCACAATCCACACTCTTGGCACCAGCAGTCAGGAAATCAAAAGACAAATTGCACTGTAAAAGTCTACACTCAGGGACCTCTCTAAAGTACTGAAGAGCAACAATGTCAGTATAGAAACTAAAGTGCTTCTGATCCAGGCCCCCGTCTTTGCAATTACTTGCTATGCATCAGAGAGCTGGACAATAACTAAGAATGATAGAAGAAAGGTAGATGCCTCTGAGTTGTGGTGTTGTAGAAGAGTGTTTAACATACCATGAACTGCCAGAAGAACAAACAGGTCTGACCTAGAGAGGGTGAGCTCTGTCTCATGTACTTTGGGCACATGGCCAGGAGGGATTATTCCTTGGAGAGGGACATTGTGCTTGAGAGAAGAGAGGGACAGTGCAGGAAAGGAAGACACAGGATGAGCTGGATTGACTCAATAACTGGAGAAATGAGATTAGGTTTGTCAGAAATGGTGAGATTGGCTCAGGATATGGCAGGGTTCAGAGCTAATATATGTAGGGTCACTGTGAGTTGTAAATGGCTCGATAGTAATAGCAACAATAACAACAACAACAGTGATAATCAATTACTTTTGAGTTTATTCCAACTTGTGGCGATCCCATATGTGTTGGAGTGAACTGTGCTCTAAAGGGGTTTTACTGACTGATTTTCCTTGTGAGGTGCCTGTGGCTGGATTCAAATTGTCGACTTTTCAGTTAGTAGCCAAAGACATTAACCATTTGCACCACCCAAAGATAAAACACTGAATATGAAAGCCAACCAGGGTCTCTTCCTTCTAAAAGAAATCAGTGTGGCTAAGAACCAACTGACCACCCTCACAAGGGGTCCTGGTAGTGCAGCAGTTAAATACTTGGCTACTAACAGAAAGGTCAGCAGTTCAAGCCTACCAGCTACTCCACAAGAGAAATATGTAGAAATCTATTACTATAAAGATGGCAGCCTCGGAATGTTAATGGACCACTTCTGTCCTGTCCTACAGGATTGCGATGAGTTGAGGTTGACTCAGTGGGCATGGGCGTGGTTTTTAGATGTGACTGCCCTCACACACCTGGCACTGAAGGTACAACTTTTATGGAGACAGACAACTTTCCATCAGAGAAATGGAGTGCAGAGATGGCCTCCCACCCCCCTGACCAATGAATGTCATAACAAAGCCCCTTGACTCTCCAGCATCCCCAAGCCAAGCCTGGCATGTCCCTGCCAGGAACCACACTGCCTGACAGCTCTCACTTTTTGTGCAGGTGGATGCCTGGAAAACCCATGTCTGGCGGGACGAGAAGCGGAGGCCCAAGAGAAGAGAGGTTCAGTTCAAAGTCTTGGCCAAGTAAGAGCCAACAGGTCTGCCTTCTAGTCCTTTATCAGTAGGGAACAAAGCTAAGGGATTTGTGTGGATGTGCAATGTTGGCTTTGAGAGGTCTGAACGGCAATTCCAAGGTCCACCAGCCACTGTTGTCCAAATCTCTCTCCCCCACCTCTATTTTCCCAAAGGGACGGAGCAGCAGGGTGAGGGGAGGAAGAGGGCTGTTAGTCAAGATAGCTCGAGAGAAATGTACGTGGTTTTCAACCTCAGCTACCCAGTCATCCCTGTCTTTTTCTCGGCTCTCATTTTCTTCTGGAAGGCTGTGTCAGCCTACCATGTTGGTCTGTCTGTCTGTCCCCACAGAGCTGTGCTCTTCACCTCTGTACTCATCCGAAAAGTCATGGCGTCAAGAGTCAAGGTCACCATCCTCTTTGCAACAGAGACAGGAAGGTCGGAAACACTGGCCCAGGACCTGGGAGCCTTGTTCAGCTGTGCCTTCAATCCCAAGGTACCCACACTGGTGGTGGTGGTGGTGTACACTATAAACCTGCAGTGAAAGGACAGATTGTCTCCAGAGGACCCCCCACCCCATACTTTATTGAACACAGGGAATAATTATTTTCATCGTGTTCTGGGGAATACAGTTTGAGAAACCCTGTCTCAATGCATTGAAGCCTGTGCATACCTAAACTGCCCCAGATGACTTCTGTTGGGCCTTTTTATGCCAGATTAAGTGCTAAATGTATAGGAGGCCACAGAGTAATAAAATGTGGACAAATAAATTGCAAAAGGATGTCTAAGCCGTGTCACTTGAGATAGTTGTCACCTGCTGGGCCAGTGCTGGGCTCTGAGGATGCCACAGTGAATGACACAGACTGAGGCCTCACCCCAGGAACAAGCCCTCACATGCTGCACTCCACCCTCCCTACAACCCTGCAAGGCATGAAGTTGTGCTGGTGGTTGTTATTTTGCAGATAAAGAAGCTGAGTGTCATCGGTTAAGTGATATTTTTTCCAGGCTTTCCAGCTTCTGGGAGACAGATGTGCCCTTAATAAATTGGGGACATGGCACAGACATAGTGACATCAGACAGGAATAACTGTGGTCCGTACTCAATGGAGACAAAGGTCCAAGAGGAATAGTTAGGAATTCCTAGTACAAATTATTAGACACTAAATGACTAGCTGACAAGTTGGCAGTTTAAACCCACCCAGGGGCATCTAAGAAGACATCTAAGGCCTGGTGGTCTGCTTCTAAAAGGTCACAGCCTTGAAAACCCTATGGAACATATAGGTCCGTGTGTCTGATCTATGCCCATGGGGTCGCTATGAGCTGGAATCCACTCAGTGACAACTAACAATAAGCTTAGCCAATAAGAACGGGTCTCATGGTGCCAAGCTCCCAGGGGCCCTGACCTGGCAGGGGACTGAGCAAGTCACATATCCTGAAACTTTAGTAGAACAGTGAGTGTTAAGTTATTGGACTTAAGGGTGGAATCAAGAGAGAATGACAGAAACCTTAATGCAGCTTTATTAAAGGGGGGAATAGGGGAGCTCCCAGGTGAGGTTCCTCATTCTGGGGATGCAAAATGGGGAAGTCACAGCTTGAACTTATTGGGGAGGGTTTTTATAACAGAGTCTTTAGAGAAAAGGGGGCGGTACATTGCACTTTGATTTACAGTGGTTTGCCTGTTAACTCAGCCAGGCAGCCAAGGCCATCTGCTCTTCTTATCAGTGGCAGGCAAGGCCAGAAGCATTTGAATTCTAAATTCTTCATTCTTTTTCTTGGCCCCTTTGTCCAGACTTAACAGTGAGATGTGACACCTATCACCTGGAGTCAACTCTATATGCAAAGGGTTTGGGTTTCAAAGCACCAAAGTCATCATTAGTTCCGTTACCACTGATGCCAATTTTGTAGATATTATGCCCACAGAAATGGAATTTAAAATAGCTATGGAAGTATTGAGAGTGTTTTAATTTGGGAAACAGAGTATTTTGAAGATAGAACCACCAGAACTTGCTGACAGCTTAGCTGTCGGGCCTGATGGGGAGGAGAGTCACGGCAGTCTTGTTGATGTTGGGTCATGCCAGGGAGCTCAGTTCAGCTCTCTCCTCCATGCCTGTCTGGCCAGGTGCCCAGCTAGTGGGAAGGGAAGTTCAGGGGAGGAACTTGACCTGGAAGCTGAGGGCTCATGTCCACCCTTGGTGCTGCCCAGGTTTTGTGCATGGACGAGTACAGGCTGAGTGACCTGGAGAAAGAGCAGCTGCTGCTGGTGGTGACCAGCACGTTCGGGAATGGAGATTCTCCCAGCAATGGAGAGGTGAGTGGTCCAAGGTGACGGGGCTTGAGAAGGCCAAGAAAGGACGCAAGGAACTCAGTGTGGAGAAGGGGATGCTTCGCGAGTGAGGGCTCAAGTCTTTCAGAATTGCCGTAGTGTCGGTCATTGGCCAAGCCTCCTCCACAATCATTGTGTGTGTCCCTTTTCCTATTACAGAACTAATTCTTATCTGTAAATTGACCTATCCTCATTTTACTTAAAAATCTATGCTTAAGGAATACTTATTACTTTCAAAGATTGATAGTCCATAATACAGTAACTTCAATGAAAACAAAGATACGGAATTTAGCTACATATCATTATCTGACAACGGCCTGACTTAGCATTGCTTTTTAAAAAGAGTAATCAACACTTATTTGAGAGGTTATTGTTGTTTTTCCACACTCATAGTGACCCTATGAACAAAAGGCCTGAAGCTTTTCTATAACTATCGTCATTTATCAAAGTTCATAGAGTTTCCAGAGGCATGTTGTTTAGAGGTAGTGAGGCTCAAGTTGGTCCTTTCCCTGGAATGCTCAGAAACATGGAAAGATCATTTAAAAGGGAGTAACTGTGAGGATGTGGAGAAATGGAAAGCCTAGAACTGTACTGAGGAAATGGAAAATGATTCAGCCACCATGGAAAACCACTGGGCAGGGGTATCTTCAAAAAGCTGAATATAGTATTACTATATAACCCAGAAATTCCACTACTCGGTATATATATACCCCAACGAATTGAAAGCAGGGACTCAGACAGGTACTTACATGTGAATGTTCATAATAGCCAAAAGGCGGTAACAGAGCAAATATCCACCCACGGATAAATAGATAAACGAAGCATAGTCTATGTGTACAGTGGAACCTGGTGTGGCCATTAAAGGGATGAATGGATAACACACAGATAAGTGAAAAGAGCCAAGTGCAAAGGACAACAGATCATTTAGTATTAAGTGTCCAAGAGAGAAAAATCACAGAAGCAGTAGAGAGATTGGTGGCAGTGAGGGTTTGGGGAGGGGACACAGGGAGAAACTGCTTGATAGGTGTGAGGTTTCCTTTGGGGCGATGGAAATATTCTGAAACAAGATTGGGGTCATCAGAATTGTGAACACGCTAAATGACCTGGAGATACTCACTTTAAAATGGGTCATTTCATGTTACGTGAATTTTGCCTTAGTAAATTCTTTTCTTCAGGCAATGCCATGGACAGGATTATTTTAGGAAGAGACAGCATTCTTGTCATGGGATTTAGTGGTATTTCTGCTGGCTCAGGAACCATCTAAAATGACCTGGAGTTCTTGGACAACTGGTGTCATTTTTGAGGAAATGGGACAAGTTGTCATTCTAACTAGGTTTCAAGTAAAAAGAGAGACCCACACACCTCATTAGGAGACCCTCAGAAGATGTCATACACAGGGAGGTCCTTCTGCCACCAGAGCTGGCTAGTTTGGGGCCTGTGCTAATCCAGGCCTCCCACCAAGTGTCAGGCCCCATTTGAGCCACTGAGGCTCAGCTGGAGTGAGAGACGAGCCCAAGACTTGAACTTGGGGCCTGATCACAATCCCAGACATACTCTACTTCCCATCTATGGGTCTGGAATCTCCTCCTGCCCAAGGTGGCCAGTTTAAAAATGGACCAGCAGAGGAAAGGCAAAGCCATGCTTTTGTGAACCATGGCCTGACAACTCTGGTGCTCTCTCTTTCTAGAAACTGAAGAAATCACTCTTCATGTTGAAAAAGCTCACTAACAAATTTAGGTAAGGCTTCTTCCCTCTTCCACTTATACAAGTCCTGCTGTGTGGTGGGCTGGGTGCGCGGGACCGGAGTTTGAGTCCAGACAGTGAAGTTAAGTGTACAGAAGGGTGTCTTTTCTGAAATGTCAAGGGGCAAGAACTTAGGTCCAAGGTTTGTCCTTGAGTGTGTCAAGCCGCAGAAGCCAAGTCCCTCTGATAGGTCAGCAGGCCAGTCATGGAAGCTGTTGATGACCGTGAGAGCCAGGGAAGTCCAGGAAGGTCTGTGCACAGCTGGAGTAGGGTGCCTGGGCTGAAGGCTGAGGTGCTGGTGCTGGATGCTGGATGAGGCTAGCGTGAGTTGGCTCACCCGTCTCCGTGTGTGTGTCCACCTCGGCAGGTATGCTGTGTTCGGCCTTGGCTCCAGCACATACCCTCAGTTCTGCGCCTTTGCACATGACATTGACCAGAAGTTCTCCCACCTGGGGGCCTCCCAGCTCACTCCGACTGGGGAAGGAGATGAGCTCAGTGGGCAGGAGGAAGCCTTCCGCAGCTGGGCCGTCCAGACATTCAAGGTTAGTTCACAGCCAGACTGCCCCACAACCTGGACAGAGACATGGGGCTGCACCTGTGCCCAGGACACCTGTGCCAACTGTGCTGGGTGGCATGGCTTCTGCAAGTTCTGTAGACATGGTCCCAGTGGTGGTGGCAATGATGATGATGATGATGATGACTGTTAACACAGGTCTGCCCCCTCTTCTTCCAGGCAGCATGTGAGACATTTGACATCCGAGGCAAAAATCAGATTCAAATCCCCAAGCTCTACACCTCCAGTGAGACCTGGGACCCACACCAGTACAGGCTTGTGCAAGACTTGGAGCCTTTGGACCTCAACAAAGGTACCTGCTTCTCTGACACATGGTGCTCATTGGCCCTTCTTGCCTGGCCTGGGGTCTCTCAGCCAGTGGCAAGAAAAGCACCAGGTCCTTTGAACAGAGCATGTAGTCTGAGTGCCCTCTGCCCAAGAAGAACCTGCTGGGTACAAGACAGGGACTTGCTTCAGACCTGAGACTGTTTCAGGAGGAAGCTCCAGGGGAAGTGGCGAGAGAGAGAGAGGACCCCTTGTTGGCTGAGGTTCTCCTCTGTCAGGGTCTGTGCTGGGCTTTTAGCCTCACACTCTGAGTCCTCACACTCACCCATCATTGGAGGAAGGTCACGGAGAAAGAAAGTTCAGGAAGGAGAAGCAAGTTACTCCTGCCACACAGTTACATTGAGACCCAAGCCCCAGTGTCCCAGCTCCAAAGACGGCCACGTATTGGAAGAAGGTTCCAGAGAGGCAGTTCCAGGCATTCTCTCTGCCCTGCCCCCTGGAGATCCCATACCCCTGGTTGATTCCTCTTTTCTTTTACCCACGGGACCTTACAGGAGCCAGGATAATGCCCCCAAAACCAAATTCTTTGCCACTGAGTCAATTCTGACTCCGAGTGACCCTATAGAACAAGGCAGAGCTGCCCCCTAGGGTCTCCGAGACTGTGATGGTTACCGAAGCCGACTGTCACATCTTACTCTGGTACATGGCTTTGGTGGGTTCAAACTACTGACTTTTCCATTAGCAGTGAAGCACTTATCCACTGCACACCAGGGCTCCCTACCATGAGAACTGTAGTCTTCCAGTCTGAATGTTTGGAATACCCCCAACTTCAAATATACTCTCCTGTGAATCCTAAGCCACAAAGACATTAAACTGCATTTCCTCCACAGTGTGGTTAACGTCTTTGGTTAATTAAGTTTTCTGGAGTCCCTGGGTGGGGCGAATTGTTAATACACTCAGCTGCTATTTAAAAAGTTAACAGTTCCGTTCAGGTCTGTCCAGAAGCACATTGGAAGAAAGACCTGGTGATCTATATGTAGAAAACCAGACACGGAAAACCCTGTGGAGCTCAGTTCTACTCTGTCATGCACGAGGTCACCATGAGTTGGGGTGGACTCAGCAGTAGCTGGTTTTTAGCAGTGGCACTGCCATCCGTTGTCAGGTCAAGGGTCTTTATTTATGATTCAGAAACAGCTGAAAAAGGGAAGGAAAGAGAACAGGGGACTGGAGGAGTGATGTTCTGATAAATCTTCAGACCCTCCACAGCTCCCCAGCCAAGGCCTGGTACCCACTCTGCCTCTCCCTGTCTCTCCACAGCCCTGAACAGCTTGCACGCTAAGAACGTGTTCACCATGAAGCTCAAGTCCCAGCAGAATCTACGGAGTCCAGAATCCAGGTAGACTACACTACAGAGTGTCTCATACAATCTTCCATAAGTTTGATTTTAACCAAGACCGCAGCGAGTCAGTCTTTGAAGGGAGAGTGTCTGGTCTAGCAGCATCGGCAGTGATGCGGTCAGTGGACTAACTGTGCTGGTGACCTCGGGGTCTGTTCTCAGCGGCCCACTAGCTTATTACCCAGCTTGAGAGCTAAGCAGCTGCTTCAGCTCCTCTCTTTCTTGATTTTATGTTTTCATCACAAAGGGGCAAGAGAAGTACAAACTATTGGCTTTAAGAGCTTTCACTGAGCTTTTTGGTAGAGAAGGAAATGGGTGAACGTGGAGGATGTCCATGGGTTTTGTTTGAGCCGTTCCTGGTCATTAAGAAAACTGGTCTCTTGTTCTAGTAAGAGCCAAGCTTCTCCCCATGCCCACCTAACTCCAAATGGGGTCTTTTCCTTAGCAGGGTCCATGACCAAGCCCTTGGGACTTGAGAGGGCTGCAGAGGGGTCAATGTGGCCCACACTTCACCCTCAGTGGAAGGCTTGGGATCCCAGTCAGCCCCCACCTAACAGCATGCCTGGGACCCAGGCTCATGGAAAAGGCAACACAATTAAAGAAGAGGGCACATTATTTCCTGGGGAAACAGGCCCACCCTCAGGGAACCATGGAGGAAATGCTGGCAGCGTCACGCGAAGCTTCTTTTTCCCTCCCCAGCCGCACCACCCTCCTGGTGAAACTCTCCAGTGAAGACAGGCAGGCTTTGAACTACCTGCCTGGAGAACACCTCGGCGTTTTCCCAGCCAACCAGGCGGCCCTGGTTCAAGGCATCATGGAGCGCCTGGTGGATAGACCTGCACCCCACCAGCCTGTGCACCTGGAGGTCCTCAGTGAGAACGGTGAGCCATCTGCATGGGGGACTTTGCCAGCAGCACCCACCATCCCACCCCTGCCCCCCAGCCCACCCCTGTGAGTCTGAGGCTGGGTCTAAGCTGAGGCCGTGGATGACTGTCCTGGCCTTGCTGCGAGGTGAGGCTGGCGCAGTCCCCCTCCCTGGCCAGCTGGAAAAGGCTGCATGTTGGAAACCATCTGGCCAACACCACCAGAGGCTTCGAAATCGTTCCTCTTTATTCTTTCACTCATTCAACCATGGTTTTATTGACTAATACATTTCTTTTTCATTCAAAATTTTAACCAGCCATATCTATGTAAAAGGCAGGTCTCTGGATACAAATAATAAGAAGTCTCTGTGTCTGTCCTTAGAGGACATGCCACCAGGTACAGGAGACAGAATGGACATAAGATGGTAATTGTACCATTTGCTGCTCTTGTTGTTAGGAGCCATTGAGTTGACTGCAACTCACAGTGACCCATTGAACAACAGAATGAAATTCTGCCTAATCTTGCACCATTCCCGCAATCCCTGATTGTATAAGTCCATTGTTTGTGGTCACTGGGTTGATTCATCTTGTTAAAGGTCTTCCTGTCTCTGAGCCTCTACCTTATATAGCACATAACACGTCGGGCTGTTAACACGTGTTAGATTTAACTGGAGAAGAGCACTGAGCATTCCGTGGACTGTCAAAAGAACAAGTAGATGTTTCTTGGAGGATGTGCAGCCAGAGTGCTCCTCAGAGGCAAGGATGGCAAGACTTCATCTCCCATACTTAGGGCATGTTGTGAGGAGAGACTGTTGCTTGGAGAGGGACGTCATGCTTGGAAAGGTGGAGGGACAGTAACGGAGAGGAAGAACATCAATGAGATGGATTGACACAGTGACTGCAGCCACGGGTCCACGTATGTCAGGGCTGATGAGGCTGGTGCAGGACAGGACAGGGGTCATTCCGATCTGTTGTTCATAAGGATCCTATGAGTCAAATTTTACTTAATGGCACCCAACAACAACATCATGCAGATATGCAGTTCTCATTGACTCATTGCCATTGAGTCAGAGCTAACTCACAGTTGACCCTTCATTGGGTTTCTGAAGCAGGAAATCACACAGGAGGAGTGTCTCCCTTTCCCCCATAGACGTGCTGGTGGATTCAAACAACCAAAGAAGTATGCCTTTTGGGTTAGCTGTGCTGCTCCCTATAGACTTCATCACCAGAGCTCCCTACGTATACAATAAGATATAATAATTATACAATAATTGTTATCACTTGCTATGTTTATTTGTGGGCAGCCATTAGTTGCTAGGATCTGTTGGATATTTTACTATAGACCATCAAGTCCTGTGCGTTATCTCCTTGGTCTTCATAAAGACGTGAGCATGTAGCTTCCTAAGAGATAAAATAGAGAAGCGTAGCATCCAGGTAAAATGGTAATGGTCATGCATCACTTACTAGCCATGTGGTCTTGGACATATGCTTTAAACTCTTTCTAAGTTTAAACAGGGCTTTGGTGCATCTGATACAGGCCATGGTCTTTGCAATCACTTGTTATGCATCAGAGAGTTGGACAATGACTAAGGAGGATAGAAGGAGAGTTGATGTCTTTGAGCTGTGGTGCTGGAAAAGAGTATTGAATGTACCATGGACTGCTAGGAAAACAAACAGACTCACCCTGGAAAGGGTCAAACCGGGCAGCTATTTGGAGGCAAGGATTCTGGGGCTTTGTCTGACATACTTTGGACATGTTGTAAGGAAGGACTGGTCCTTGGAGAGGGACATCATGCTTGGTAGGGTGGAGGGACAGCGCAGGAGGGGAAGGCCCTCTATGAGGTGGATTGATTCAGTGACTGGGGTAATCGGGATGGACATATCAGAGACAGTGCGATTGGCACAGGACAAAGCAGAGTTTAGGGCTGTTGTACACAGGGTCACTATGAGTAGCAAGCAATTCAATGACATATAACAATAACAACAAAGTTTAAATGTCTTTATTTGTAAAATAGAGGTAACAAAAGTCTTCCCTTCTTGGCTGGCCTAGTGGGTAAGGAGTTGCACTGCCAAACCGAAGGCAGTCAGTTTGAATCCACCAGCTGCTCCTCGGGAGAAGAATTATGGGCAGTCTCCTCGCATGTAATTTGCCGCCTCTGAGAACCTGCTGGAGGGTCTGCTGACTCAGTTCCAACTCAGTGTCAGTGAGATGATGTATGATGATGCTGAACTGTGAAATCAAATAGGTTGATAGATGAGTAGCCTCCACTCTAGTTTCTGGCACAAACAAATGTGTGAATGGAAGACTGTCCATTTCACACGGACCAATTAGAATGTGAGCACAGCACCCGATAGGGCAATGTTCAGAACTGTTGTTCATAGGGTTGCATTGAGGTCGAGTCAGCTTGATGACACTTAGCAAAAAATTAAAATTTTGAGTCCCTGCGTGGAGCAAACTGTGACTCTAATCTGCGGCTAACTGAGACTGGAAGCTTGAGTCTACCCAGAGGAAGCTTGGAAGAAAAGCCTGGTGAATCCATTTCTGAAGGAACCAGCTATTTATAACCCTACAGAGCACAGGTGGACTCCAGCACACCAGAGGGCAACGGGATTAGAGTCATCTAGAGTTTCTGGGGTGTACATCAGTCTTTGGTATATTTAGTCATTGTGAGTCTGTACTTTACCTCTGAGTGTCCTTGTAAAGTTCTAATTTAGGCCAAAAAGGGACTGAACTCTAGACCATGGCTAGTTAATCAGGATCATGCCAGCTTGGGTGCCCACTGGAGGACTTAGTGTTCCACTGTCCCTGGCAGCCTAAGCATCACCATCTTTCTAGTTTTGTTATTCCTTAATTAAAAAATCTCAGAGTTTTCCTTGTCCTGAAGCTGAGGGTTTCCAGTCTTAGAGTTCTTATCACTCCCTGAGAAACCCAAATGGGGCTTTTTATCCACTGCAGGCAGCTACTGGATCAAAGACAATAGATTCCCACCCTGCTCACTCAGTCAGGCCCTCACCTACTTTCTGGACATCACCACACCCCCGACCCAGATGCTGCTCCGAAAGCTGACCCAGCTAGCCACAGGAGAGGCTGAGAGGCAGAGGCTGGAGGCCCTGTGCCAGGTAAGATTTGGAGCTGTGGGTAGGGAAGGGGCAGAATCTCCAAGATAGGGGACCCTAAGCCTAGAACTGACCCACCCAGGAGGATCCACTCCAGAGTCTCCCTGCCCCAACCACCACCCAGGGAGACTTGTCAAAGACAGGTGGGAAGCCACACACCATCTGCCATACCCTCCCTAAGAGACAGTCGTGTGGAGAGGATGGAATTGTTCCATGTGTCTGAAAGCATTCAGTCTGAGAACACTCCCTCAGAAACTAGCTAGACAAGTGTTGTCATGTCTTGTTTGTCTGTCTTTGTATTTCCAAGATGTGGAACAGGCCCAGAATATAAGAAGTATTGGAGGATGGATGAGGTGGTTAGAAAAAATGAATGTAGTGATTGATGGTTAAATTAAGAAATCAGTGAGAGGGTACATTAACTCAGCTGCAAATTTCTGGGTCCAAGTCTTTGCACAAGGCCTTGGATGTCGTTATCCACCCTCAACACTGCTGCTGATTGCCTTGATTTCAGCCACTACCACAACTCTGTTTTCTGTGGTTGTGCTGTGCTAGCTTGACATATGCTTGCTTGTTTAATTCTCACAGCATCCCCATAAGGTATGCAATATGATCTTATGTCACAAAAATCAAGTAAGTGAAACAAGTTTCCACTGTTAGTAAGGACATGCAACTGAAATTTGAACCCAAGCCTGTATTGTTCTGCAGTCCTGACCAAATCAGTTAATGATAGCGATATGGAGACTTAACCTTTGCCCAAACTAATTCCTGCAGTGAAGTTCTAAGGAAATGTGTTAGGTAAATGCTACTCTTTAGATCGAGTTCGTCCAGGATAAGAACTGTAAACTCTCCCGGTTGGCTGACTCAGCACCCTGGACAGCGCCTGGCATATCACCCTGTTTGTTGAGTGTGTGAAAGAATGTGAGAATGTTGGATTGTAGCCTCCTCCTACTGTAGGGCAGGTGTCCTGTGTCCCTCACTCTGCCCTTGGCTTTCAGCCCTCAGAGTACAACAAATGGAAGTTCACCAACAGCCCTACGTTCCTGGAAGTTCTTGAGGAGTTCCCATCCGTGCGGGTATCTGCTGCCTTCCTGCTCTCCCAGCTCCCGATTCTGAAACCCCGGTACTACTCCATCAGTTCCTCCCGGGACCACACCCCCACAGAAGTCCATCTCACTGTGGCTGTGGTCACATACCGCTCCCGAGGTGAGTGTGGGGCTGGGGGCTTTAGAGCAGTCTCTCCCAAGTTCAACCTTGCTACTCAGCCTTGCTACTTCTTGGCAGCATTTCATCCCCCCTGAGTTTCAGTCTCCTCATCAGTTCAACAAGAACAAAAGTTTTCACCCCTAGAGCTGTTAATAATATAAAGTTGCATGTATGAGAGATGAGTAGGAACTGAGTACAAAGCTATTTGTACACTTATGACCAGGAGCCCAATGACATAGACGGCACTATGACTGTGTAGATCCTAATAAACCATGGCTAACATTGACAAGAATGGGAATTCCAGAACATCTAATTGTGCTCATTGGAAAGCTATACCTAGTCCAAGAAGCTATTGTCTGAACAGAGCAAGGGAACACTGCATGGTTTAAAAGCAGGAAGAGTGTGCTGCAGGAATGTATCTTTTCTCCATACCTATTCAATCTGTATACTGAGCGAATAGTTAGTGAAGCTGGACTCTGAAGAGGAATGTGGCATCAGAATTGAAAGAAGCCTCATCAACAACTTGCATTATGCAGATGACATAACCTTGCTTGCTAAAAGTGAGGACTTTAAAAGCTTGCTGCAGAAGATCAAGGACTATAGCCTCCAACATGGATTTACTTCTCAACATCAAGAAAATGAAGGTTCTCACAACTGGGCCAATAGGCAACATCATGACAGATGGAGAAAGGATTGAAGCTGTCAATGATTTCCTTTTGCTTAGATCAACAATCAATACCCTTGGTACCAGCAATTGGAGATTGGGAGACATTGCATTGGGCAGGTCCTCTATCAAGGACCTTCCAAAATACTGAAGAGCAATGATGTCAGTTTGAAGACTTAGTGTACTTGATTCAGGCCATGGTCTTTTCAATCACTTGCTATGCTTCTGAGAGCCAGACAATGAACGATAGAAGAATTGATGCCTTTGAGTTGTGGTGTTGGAGAAGAGTGCTGAATGGACTGCCAAAAAAAAAAATAAATAAACAGATATGCCTTCGGAAAAGGTGCAGCCGGAGTGCTCCTTGAAGCAAAGATGAGATGATGACTTCTCAAGTTGGCTGGATGTCTCCTTTAAATGCTGGACTGTGGGAAGAGAATGTGATCTGGAGGGAGTTGGGGCTCTCCACTAGTCCAGAAGGGGCCATTGCTCAAGGGGAGAAAGTGGGCAGTAAGAGCTGAGTGGAATGCAATCCTCCATTCGTCCATCACCAGGGCTTCTGCCAGCAAGGCAGCACAGTGAGGACACTCAAGACTGGTGACTGTAGTCCACCCTGAGAGGCCACTTCCTGCGGCCATCAGCAGTGCTCAGTCATGGGCTGGGAGGATACCTGAAGACACTCTTCTGGAAGAAACATTAGAGTAGGAATCAGGGAACCTGAAGTCTCAAATAGATTCCACTGCCGATCTGAGCAACCTTGTCCAAGTCACTCCCACTCTCTGAGTCTCAGATTCTGCATCAGCAGGAGGAGAGGATTTCTGAGACACTAAGTCCCTTCCAGCTCTCACTGACTCTGAGTGTAGACAGGAAGGAACACACTCGACCCCCCCTTCTCCCTGATGTCCTCCAAGGACCTGAGTGGGGCATGACGGATCACTGTGGGTGGGGTGGCTGGTACAGTGGGAGAGACTGATGGTCTAGCCTGTGTCTGCCCTTGCAGGTGGCCAAGGTCCCCTACACCACGGTGTTTGCAGTACTTGGCTCAGTACCCTGAAGCCCCAGGATCCAGTGCCCTGTTTTGTGCGCAGGTAAGTACCACCTCCACTCTGGCCCCTGTAAAGGAACACTAGCCCACTAGAGCTCTGGGGTATAAAAGGAAGGGATCTGGGGTTTGGGGTCCCAACCCATAAAAAACACACTGGAGTCATACTTGGAATCTCTAGTCTGCTCCCTGGCTGAGCGGCAGGGTCAAGTACAAGGAGGACATGCTGGCATGCCAGGGTAAATAAAGCAACTATCAAGACTTTGAGAATCAAATTTGAACTCACTGTCACCTCCACTCCCCTCAGCATTCTGACCCTGAAACCATGCTGCACTTCCTAGCCTCTGACCTACAGGTATGTACACTCAGAGTGTCTGAGAACCAGACCTTCTCCTTCCGTCCTCAGTGCCAGCGGCTTCCAGCTCCCCGAGGACTCCTCCCAGCCCTGCATCCTCGTTGGGCCCGGCACGGGCATCGCCCCCTTCCGCAGCTTCTGGCAGCAGCGGCTCCACGACATTGAGCACAAAGGTACCACTGTCAGGGCTCCCCGATCGGGAGGCACACAGGGGCCAGTGCCTTCCTGAACACAGAATTGAAACCAAAACCAGATTGTGCTATCCTCCATAAATACCTCCTGGCCCCTCTGGTTAACAGCGCCCAGATTTACCTCAGCCTATTTAGGTTCCTGTAGGGGTCCCACCTGTCATCTACCTTGGAGCTAGGGGACAGTGGTGATAGAAAGAGTTCCAGATTTTTAATCTGATGAATGGATTTGGAACCCTGTCTCTGTGACTCTGGGTGATTGATCTGGATGTCCTAGTCTCAGTTTTCTCATCTGTGAAATGGGGATAATCCTTGATGGGAAACTGCTAGATCAACATGTTGCTGTCCCATTGACCCTGACTCGTGGAAACCAGTGTGTACAGGATAGAACTGCCCTGTATAGGGTTTTCAAAGATCTTTTAGAAGCAGATTACCAGGCCTTTCTTCTGAGGCACTCCTGTTTGGATTTGACCACCAAACCTACTGATAAGTACCTGTGTACAAACCTTTTGCATCACCTAGCAACTCCTGCTACTGCTATTGCTGTCATGTGCTGTCAAATTGGAACCAACTCAAGAGCTGACCCTCTACTGGGTTTTCATAGGCTGTAAATCACACAGGCGTGGGAAAAGATTGCCCATTTTCCCCCTGAGGAGCAGCTGCAGCTGATAGATCCAAACCACTTGCCTTTGGGTTGGCAATGTATCCACCAGGCTATGTGTAAAGGAGGATGAGCATGAGAGCTGGGAGCCCTCCACGTCAGGCCTTGCTTGAGGGGCTGCCCTCTGGTGGTCATAATGGAAACTGCCGTTTTCTGGTCTTGCAGGGCTCCAGGGAGGCCGCATGACCCTGGTATTCGGGTGTCACCACCCCGATGAGGACCATCTGTATCGGGAAGAGATGCAGGAGATGGCCCGGAAGGGGGTGCTTCACGAGGTGCACACCGCCTATTCTCGCCTGCCTGACCAGGCCAAGGTAAATGCAGCTACCTGCACAGTGGCTGGAGCAGAAAAAAAAATTACAGACTCCAGCTATGCTCTGTCCCCTCAGAGGAGCCCCTTCCCTGAGCTGCCATCATCCCTGAGATGGGATAGTTGCAGAAACGTCCTGCAGTGCACCATGAAGATCCATATACCCACCTTTCCAGAGGAGACAGACCAAATGGCTTAGCAATTTGCACGGGGTCACCGTGCTCATCTCCTGTGTCCAGCCTGCCGGCTCAGGTCCCTGGCAGCTCCCCAGGATACAAGACTGCTCATAGAGAGGCAGTCCAGGTCGGCTTCATGCTCAAACACGGCAGTGCTGTTTGCACCACGGCCTTGCCAGTGTTCTGTCCTGAGTCTGGCAAGCTGGCATAGATGCTCATGAGTGTGCCCCAGCAGGCTCCTCTCGGGCACAGAGTCCAGGATTTGCTGGGGCAACCAGGTGTGGAACAAGAGGAGACAGTACCCAGCTGACCCCTGCACCTTCTCTGTGTACTAGGGAGCCTGGAACTTGTGCATTCAACCGACAGAAGAGCAGGGAGCCAATGCACATTCTGCATTGAAGTGCTCCCTTCTGTTTTGACAGGGAAAAGCTATAGGCAGATTGATTTCAGAGCCCTAGTGGGAGAACTGGCTTGATTGGTCTTTTTGGTGCAGGGTGGATTGGTAGGGCTGGGAGCCCCACAGGGCTGTCAGTACTTTGTGGGCAGGACTGTGTAACGCTCATCTCTGCATCCCTTGTCCCACCCTGGACCTAGAGGGTGTCAGTGCACCATCTCCTCTGTTTCAGGTCTATGTTCAAGACATCCTGCGGCAGCAGCTGGCTGACGAGGTGATCCATGTGCTCCATGAAGAGCAGGGACACCTCTACATCTGCGGGGATGTACGCATGGCCAGGGATGTGGCAAACACCCTAAAGAAGCTGGTGGCAGCCAGGCTGAGGCTGAGTGAGGAGCAGGTTGAGGACTATTTCTTCCAGCTCAAGGTACGTCAGTGAGTGTGCAGGCCTGTGGTGCAGGGCCAGGGGAGACTGAGATCAGACCAAGGAGCCAGGGTCAGAGACGAGTGTATAATCAGGGGGTCAAAGGAGCTAATGCATGGATGGGGAGCTCTGGTGGCCTAGTGGTAAGAAGTTGCACGGCAATCCCTAAAGGCACACAGTTCAAATCCATCTGTTGCTCCATGGGAAAAGGATGGGCAGTTTCTTTCCACGCAGTTTACTGCTTCTGAAAATACACTGGAGGGTCACTTTTGTTTGTTGTTGAGTCGGTTTCACCTCAACAGCAAACAACAGCACAATGTTTGGACGTAATGAGGAGAATTGGGTGCCCAGCTTTGAGGAGTCAGGCAGATGTTTCTGTTTCTTCTGTAGAATGTGAACAGCGTGCCCTGACCTTTTCCCCAGACCCTCTTTGAGGAAGGAATTGTATTGCTGAGGGCTTCACAGGAGGCAGGGCTGTGAGTCTGAAGGACAGGAAGGTCGGCCATCTCTGCCACTGTCTTGTGACCCTCACACTGGCTATTTATGCCTAGGATTACCTGCCCCACTCGCCACAAGGATGCAAGGACGGAAATGCATCATAACCATGGAAATAGTAGTAATGGTCATCGAGGGTTTACAGTGGGCCAGACACACATCAGTGCTTGTCACGTGGTATTTCCTTCTGTCCTTCAGAGGACATTTTGAGAGGAGTGTTGTTGTGTGTTGTTAGGTGCCATCAAGTCAACTGCAGCTCATGGCAACCCCATTCTGCATCGTTGCCACAGTCTGCCGTGCTCAAGCCCATGGTTGCAGTCCTGTTCTTCCTATTTTCCCATAGAGGGAAGGGGGGCTAAAGGAGTTCCACAGTCATGAGTGTGAGAGCCCAGAGCTCAGTGTGTTCTATAGATCAAAGCCATGAATGTCGCCTCTGTACCTCACTACATCACCCTCCTTCTTTCAGCTGATGTGCTATGATGTGCTGGGGAAAGAATGGATGAGTGAAATTCTTATTCAGATGAAGCTTGCTTTCTAGTGAGGTTGATGAATAAGCCACAAAACAAGTAAAATATGCAATGTTTGGGTTGGTATTCAGCAGCAATCAGGACATCATGAGATGAAGGGTGTAATTATAAATAGAATGGTTAGGGAAGACATCAGTGTGAAGATATTTAAGAAACAATACAAGGGTGGTGAGGAATGAATCCTGTGATGAGTGAAGAAGCAGAGTTCTAGACTGTTGTGGAGAGAGTAGTAAGTGCAAAGGTCCTGAGGTAGGAGTTATTCTAGCCCGTTTACAGAACAGCATGGGGCTCACAGGCACTTCTAAAAATATGACTAGTGGGTTTGTCATCAAAAAGGTTCCCAGGTCAAATCTCTTTGAGATGTAGACAGGTACCCACGGTTCTTTACCCCACAACTTTTCGGAAGTAGGAAGACAGTTCACAGACTTCCCCAAACCTTCCTGAAGTCAGAGTTCTCATTCCTGGTACGTTGTGAGGCCAATGCTAGGCAGGAAGTGAGAAATGCAATCCAGCTAAGGCCTAACAAAGGTTATAGGGGCTAAATCAGATTTAGGCATAATCTAAGCATGGCAAGTCAAGAACAAATGACTCAAGAATGAATGTGTGATCAGGCGAGGGGGCAACCCCAGGACATCTTCCAGTCTGAGCCCATTGATACCTGGTCTTTTTTTTTTTCTTTTTCCCCTTCCAGAGTCAGAAGCGCTATCATGAGGATATCTTTGGTGCTTTATTTCCCCACGAGGTTAAAAAGGAGGGTGCATTCGGCCTGCCCAGCAATCCCAGAGCTTTGATGACCCATGGGACAAGCTAAAGTCACTGGAATTTCATTTACTAGAGTCACCTTTCAACTCTGCAGCCACAGGGCTGGGGGAGGTTTCAGGAAACTGATATCCCCAAGCTTCACATCTCATTTCCCTACCTCCTTCCCTCCTAAGCCCTTTACTTGACGTGCTACCAAGTAGCAACCTGGACTGGTTGGAGCCTCCTCTGTTCATTGGTCCCCTTTGTCCCAAATAATGGAGACTCTGGACTTCTGTAATCCCATTGAGATTAACTCTGCAGTGGGTGAGAGGAAAAGAGCCATTTCCTCTGATGCCATCACTTGGAATGACCACCAGGAGGTGCTAATCACCCACTTTGTATTTAGCTGCCCTGTGTACAGTTATTTATGCCTCTATATTTAAAAAAGCAACCAAACACTGTATGATTCCTTGACGGAAATATTTCTATGAAATACAGTTTATTTTAACCATATTCTGTGCATGTGTGTTGGTGTTTTATGAAGAAAGTGGGACATGCAACAACTTGGACAAAGAGCTGAGCTGGGTGGAGGCAGAGGTGATGGAGTTGAATGGTAAAAAGCAGAAAGCAAGACACCTGAGCCTCATGCTCCAGATCAGGGGCCTTGTTATATCTGCACGTGGGTCAGGTGGATGTCCCCTGCCACTTCCAGGTTGTTGATGGCTGGCAGGTTCTTAAGTCGGTGGTAGTATTCAAACAGGTGCTGGCCATCCACAGCCACCTTGAAGCTGCTGCTTTCACACTTGATCCACACCTGGACAGAGAAGCCACAGCATAAGCATTACACTCGAAAAGTCCTCAAACAAAATACAAGTTCCTGTCTCTTTCTGCCCCCTTCCCACCTTCCTCACTCATCAACTATTACCCCCACTGCCAACGTTCCAGCCACACTGTATTATCTGCTCTTCACAAGTCCTGTCACCTGCTCGCCATCCAGACCTTGGTCATTATCCATACCTATGTCATTATCCATATCTTCGTCATTATCCTTCTTTAGTTCCTATTTCATTTTCTTTGAGTATAAAACTGTGTCACTTTTAAATTTGATTCTATCTTAGTCAATCTATAAACCACATCTTGCCTTAGTCAGAAACTCCCAGAAAAAGAAGAACCCCTCACAAGTCAATACCAAAGAGCGCTCTGGTGACCTAGTGGTAAGACCCTGCACTGCAATCCCAAATTCATGCGGTTCGAATCCACGAGCTGCTTCATGGGAGAAGGATGGGCAACCTCCTCCCGTGTGATTAACTGCTTCTGAACACCTGCTGGAGCGTCCAGCTGTGGGTCGGTTCTGATTTGATAGGACTCAACAACAACAACCTTAGCCACTACATTGGAATAATTAAAAATAAACAAAATTCATAAAATATAACTTTCATTTGACTTTGACTGTTAATACAGAAACAGAGCATGAGGGGAGAGTGGCTGAGGGTTTGGGGCACTGCACATAATCTGGGCCTAGCGTTCCCATTGGTTGTTTACCACGATGTGTACAAGAGCCTACCCTTGTGTTTGTGTGGTGACGAAGATCATTGCTGGCTCTCCTGGCAATAGAATCTCCTGCCTATTAATAGAACTCGTTCTTGTCTAGCAGCTGCTCATGTCGGAACCAATCAGTTACATGCTGATGTAGCAAGAGTTAGATTTGTGAGTCTACCTCACCTCTTGTTTAGTAGATAGAAACAGTGTACCCCCAGGAGATCGGCCAAGATAAGGAATTTCAGTTACAAGGGAGGGAACTATAAGCAAGAGGCACCAAAGAGAGTCGAGGTGATGGAAGTCTCAGTTTAAACGCCCTTAGGCACCTTCCTGAACTGATTTCTGGACAGCACATTCTCGGGCAATGGAACTAGCACCAATTTCAATTTCATTTCCGGGTGGTTCCCTCTCACCGGAGCACTTAATTTTCCTTGCATCTTCTCTGCTTGGAATGCATGCATTTTTGTTTTTAGACAACTGACTGGTAACTCTGTTTTGTTGATGCCCTAAAGCACGTGTTCATCTTGCTTATTGGGTATTTTGTGCCTGATTCTAAGCACGTTACACATATTACCGCATTTAATCCTTACAACTCTTTATTAGTTGAGATATTATTGTTTAATCCCATTTTGCAGATGATGAAACTGAGACACAGAGCCATTAAAGCACTTGCCCAAGGGCACACACTATCTATAAATCAAAGGATATTGTTCTCTGGTCTGTAGTCTTCCAATGGAAACCTCTGACTCTATTAAAATTCAAACCATTTTCTACATCCTCAAGGCCTTATACCAGTCATTCCCAACTCTGTGTATGTTGTTGTTGTTGTGAGATGTCATAAAGTTTACTACAACTTGAATCAACCCTATGAACAATAGTTTACAGGCACTATTAGAGAACTTTGGCCCATCCTGCATGAACTTCATGATTTCTGCCATGCTCAAGCCTTTTGTCAAAGACATTGTGTCAATCCGTCTTGTTGGGGGTCTTCTTCTCTTCCACTGACCTTTCCCAGCATAATGTCTCTTTCCAAGGATCAGCCCCTCCTGACAACATGCCCCAAGCATATGAGACGAAGTGTCACAATCCTTGACACTATGGAGTACCCTGGTTGCAGTTCCTCCAAGACAGATTTGTTTGTTCTTTTGGCAATCCATGGGATATTCCATACTCTTTGTCAATACCACAAATCAAAGGCATCGTGTTCTCTTCTGTTGTTATTCATTAGGAAGCAACTGAAAATACCATGGCTTAGATCAGGTGCACCTTAGTCTTTAAGTTAACATCCTTGCTCTTTGGTACAGCATTTTTTCCCAATGCAACATATATTTTGATGTCTTGACTGCTGCTGCCATGGATATTGATTGTGGATAAAAGTAAATCATTGACAACCTCAACTCTTTCTTCCCAGTGAGGATTCTTGCTTTCTTGATGTTGAGATATAATCCATGTTGAAGGCTGTAGCCTTTGATCTTTGCAGTGTTTCAAGGCTTCACTTCCTGCAAACAAGGTTGTGTCATCTGTGTAGGCAGGCTGTTGATGAATCTTCCCCCAATCCTGATGCCACTTTCTTTTTCACATATTCCAGCTCCCTGATTGATTTGCTCAACAAATAGATTGACTACATATTGACAACCCTGACACTCACCTTTCCTGATTTTAAACCATGCAGTGCTTTTTCAGTCTAGTTGCATAATATTGGCATATTCTATAAATATCCAGGCTCTCTCTCTGCTCTGGACCATGATGCAGGTATTGGTTGGTTTTGCTCTTTTAAGCTCCCTTGTCATCTGAATAAATCACCGGGGTTGAGAACACCTGTTCTGTGTGAGCTGGGCCTCCAGCCTCCACAGTCGATACCACTGCATTCACTCTGTAACTTATAGCACCTGGCCTTGCCATTTCTTGACAGGTAATGCCCATGGCTCCCTTATTTGTATTGTCTGTTCTCTCTGTCCAGCTGGAATACTCTCCCACTCGCTCCTTGCTTGGCTGGCTTCTTCCCTCTGAGGCGTGGCAGCTCGGCCCTGGGACTCATTATTTCCCATAGTTCTGTGCTTTCTGCATAGCACCCGGCCCTATTTGCAGTTACCTTATTCTCCCATTTATTTCCTTTGTTCTTGTTCTGGTGCCTATGGAGTAGCTCTCCAAAGAATAGTTGATTGATTAATTCGTTGGATGACTAAGTGAGTGAACGAACAACTAACTCTTCATTGCCAGGTTTGATTAACTCATTCCTGGCTGTGTGACTTTAAGCAAGTAACTTGAATTTATAAATTTGTTTCTTCTGTAAAAAATTGGATACTACTCCAAAAATAATAGCAAAAGCATGAATAATATTTTTGTGGTTCCTGTGTACTTTTCCTCGAACTGTGATGGCAAAGAGTGCTGAATATCACATGGACTGCTAAAAGGGGGGGAAATGTCTTCAAAAACATGAAGCCAGGGTGCTCCTTGGAGACAAGGATGATGACACTTTGCCTGACATACTTCGGGCATCGTTAGAAGGGTCCAGGCCTTGGAAATAGACATCATGTTTGGAAAGGCAGAGGGTCAGCAAAGAAGAGGAAGACTCTCAATGAGATGGATTGACATGGCGACTCTACAGTGGGTCAGAGGTGGTCAGGGGTGGCACAGGGCGGGGTTCAGATTCATTGTTCATAGGGTCACTATGAGTCATAGTTTGCACCTAACAGCAACATGCGTTTTTCCAGGCTCAGTCCTTATCCGAATCTCAACGTAAACCCGGGCTTCCTCCCACCTCCCTTGATCCCGTGTGAGCCCCTCTGAGCTCCAGGCTGTAGTCCTTTTACCATGAAGCTCCTGCCACGGCCGAAGGGCATTGGTCTCGATAGGCTGCGCTCCTCAGGCCCCCAAGAACTGTTGATCTGAGAGTTGCGGACCACGGTATTCTCATCGAAGCGAGGGTTCAGGTGGAAGGCGATGTCACTCCCACAGCGCAGGTTGATATGGAATCTGCAGGTGGGAAGCTCACCTTGACCTTCTTGCCCACCGAGCTTCACAGCCCAGGCAGTCCCTCTCCTCTTCCTCAGCCCACCTGAGGCCAGGGTGGTGGCCACAATGGCCTTAGAGTTCTGTCATCCTCCAGAGTCCTGGTGTCCCAGCTTACCTCTGGGCATTGGGCAGGACGGTGCCTGAAATCATGACGGACTTGGACGGGTACAATCCACCCATGATGGTGGTGACGTAAGGCAGCATCTGTAAGAGGAAGGAATAGGTCAACCAGCAGCAGCCAGAGCCACTTCCGGCCACTGCGGGAAGAATTTGTACAGACGTCCACAATTGTGAACTTCCCAATGAACTTGGCAGTGAGCAATATCATTTAGAGAAAGCAATCCTCACTATCCTCTTCCAGTAAAAACCAAAGGAAACCTTCCCAGCATCCCTCAAAATGGCTTAAGCCATCATGAACAGATCTTGGAACACAAAGAGACATTTGGACTGAAAAAGCAAAACACTGTTTTAAAGTCAAAAGCTTCTTTCATTTGAAAGTCAAAAGTTTTATTCAACAGTCCTCTGACATACTTGTTTGGTTTTAGGAACTTTAGCTTTGAATTTGGGAGCACCAGCGGTTCATCCCGATGCTGCCTTGCACATCTTAACCTGCCTGAAACAAGCCTCCTCCCTCCCCAAGAAACCACTTACATAGGTTGCTGGGCTCGGGTACATCATAGCTGGGTTTGGGGCGGTCTGTTGAAAAGAGATCAGGAAATTCATTGAGGTTGTGTGCACACACAGGCAATTTGCATATTCTATTAGGGAAGCTGTGATGTGGGGCTGAGGTCAGGAGGCTTTCACGTGAACCCCTTGAGGTCATCTGTCCCTCCCCAGGAAGTCCCACTAGCTCCCCATTGATTTGCACAGACAAGAGCAGGACATGAAGTCAATAAGCCTGTGATCGTAGTGTCACCCCAGGACTTCTCTTCAAGGATACATAACCATAGAACCTAATGTTCAGGTGCTGGGACCACTACACCCCAATTACTCTGCTGGTCCCTAGAAGACCTGTCCTTTGGACTGCTGAATATGTCCATGCTGGTCCAGAACCTTTGTTATCCCAGTGAGAGGGAGAGAGTCTTCGCCACACTAGAGCAGAAGCCCCAGCCCCCAAAGGCCTCTGTCTTTCTTGTTAGACCATATTCTTCCAACTCCAGCAGCCAGGAAATCAAAAGATGAATTGCATTGGGAAAGTCTGTTATCAGGGACATCTCCAGAGTAAGAAGAACAACAATATCAGTCTGGAGACTAAGTGAGCCTGATACATGCCATGGTCTTTGTAATTACTTGCTATGCATCAGAAAGCTGGACAATGACTAAGGATGATAGAAGGAGAATTGATGCCTTTGAGCTGTGGTGCTGGAAAGAGTATTGAATATACCATGACTTGCTAGGACAACAAACAAGTTCGTCTTGGAAAGGGTGAAACCAGGCTGCTCTTTGGAAGCAAGAATTATGAAGCTTCATCTGACATACTTTGGGCATGTTGCAAGGAGGGACCAGTCCTTGGAGAGGGACATAATGCTTGGAAGTGTGGAGGGACAGCGCAAGAAAAACCCTCAATGAGATTGATTGACTCAATGACTGGGGTAATGGGGATAGTTGTGTCAGAGATAAGGTTGGCTCAGGAGAGATGGGTTCAGAGCTGTTGTACTGTTGCTGTGAGTGGCAGGCAACTTGACGGCACATAACAACAAAAACCAGGTCTCTGGGGATTCAGTCTTTGGTGGAGGAGGAAGTAATGAGCTATGAGACGATCAAAATTATCAGACTTACAGGGAAGATGCCCGCATTAGCATGAAACACTGGTGGAAGAGCACTGTTCATGATATGGAAGTTATTTTGCTTCTGGAAAAAAAGAAATTGGGGTATTAACAAGTTCTCACTACCGCTTGCCAGCCACCAGAGGGCGCACGAGAGGCGACTGCCGCTTTCTAGTGTTAACCCCATTTCCTAACCAGACTTTGAAAAGTGAGTAGACATGTTTCTTCTCTGAAAGCAATGAGGAAAAAGTACTCTCAAGGAAGCCTACTTGGACCTGTGGCGCTCGGGTCACCTCCAGATATACTTAAGGCTGTGGAACCTGAGGAGAAGGCACTGAGGGCTGGGGGAGGAATATTTCTCCTGGCTCTCCCAGAGACAGAAGGACCAGACTTGTCTATATGTATTGGCCCCACTAGACTCAGAGACAAAACCAGGTCATATTTGAACCATGAGATGGGACCCATCATTTTCTGAATCTCTACTGCATGCCAGACTCTGTCTGGGCTTTTGTGCTTTGCAATAGGGGATGCATTGTTAACTCTGGTTTTACTGGTAATATAGCCAGACTCAGAAAGGTTAAGCTCTCGCCCACACTCTCTCAGGTTGTAACTGGTAAGATTCAATGTGGCACCTAGTTCTGCCTGATGGAGTCCTCCACACCCTATATCCCTCCTCACCAAGAAGGGCCCAAGTTAGCTGCTCCTTAAAGGCTCCCTAGGGCTTCTTGTTGTTACTATGTTCTGTTGTTGAGGCAAAACCAAACGGCATAGCTGAGCCTCCAGCAGATTTTTCAGAGGTGGTAATTAACACAGGAGGAGGGTGTCCTCTTTCTCCTGCAGAGCAGCTGGTGAATTCAAACCGTGTGCCTTTGAGTCGGCAGCACAATTCCTTACCCTTACGTCATCTGAGTGGGCCCAGTGCTGAGGTCAGTGTGGCACAGCGCAGGGGTGCCATCTGTACCATGACAGGGCACAAGAAGTCTAGAAGAATAGGACCTTCTTCTCCCTGGTCTCCACTGCTTCGGTGGTCAAAGAAGGGCGGGCCCTACACCAATTCCTGTCTTACATCCAGCCACACTCAACAAACTATTCTTGTCTGCTCCTTTTCCTTTCTACCTGCCCTTCTTATACAAATAGCATTCCCCATCCATCTGAGTCCTTAGTGAGTATTATGTACTGTGCAAAGTGCTGGGGGTAGAAAAATTAACACGTCACCCTCCCACTTCTCAAAGGTTTTGTGGGCACAGGAAAGGTGAGTGGGGGTGGTTGGAGGAACACAGACGTGTTGACACAATGATGATGCAATGCAAGGCAGTATGGGACTGGCGTAGAAACACAAAGTCCAAGGGGGATACAAGACAGTGTATCCAGCAATCTGGGCAGGGAAACCTCTACACAGGTGCGACATGTAGACAGAACATTGAATGTGATGCGAGGTGAGACGGACAAAGGGGGTTTGGGTAGAGGTCAGCGCGCGCAGACGCCTGACGCCTGAGAGTGTTTGTGAGCAGTGGGGGCTGGTATGCTCAGGGCTGGGAGGTGGACAGGAGCAGGACTGAGAAAAATGTGCCCTGCTGGGGAATTTGGGCTTTATTTGGAAGACTTGGGGGTACTAAGGCTTTTAAATGGAGAGTGAATATGATCAAATTTGCTTATGGCAAGTGGAAGTGGGAAATGAGATTATCAGGTCCCCTGAGCCAAAACTGTGACTTCACAGAGGGAGTGAGTAGGAGCCAAGGACGAGTCCCAGGCCCCCAGCTCTGAGTGCCTGGTGGGGGGAGATGGGGAACTGCTGAGTGGGCATGGGTCCTAGTGACCTGTGGTTGGAAGCTGCCCCACAGACCCTGTGTCCTGTCCTGCCCTGCCACCGCCCCTGGGGCTCTGGGCCTCGCTCACAATCGGTTTGCGTCCCCGGGGCCTGTGCTGGGGATAGGCAGGCTGCGCGCACTGTGTTGTGGAGAAGACAGGCTGGACAAGGATTGCACGGTGATTCTGTTAAAATAAAAAGCATCGCAGTGGGGGAAGACATATTAATAGAGACAAGGAGGAGGGGAAAGACAGGGTCAGGTGAAAAGGGAGCAGGGCAGACAGATGGGGCAGGGAGGGGTGGAGGGTGGGGGCAAGTTAGCAGCTGTCAGCATCTCCCCTTCTCCCACCTCATGTGGGGAGACAGTGGCCAGAGAAGGAGGATGAGGACCACAGGCACAGGAGCCCACATGTGACATGAGCTTGCGGTGTGTTTCATTCATCCCAGCGTGCAGCTCACATGTCAAAAGACACATCAGCAAGTCTAATCCAGTCTAAGAGTGGGGGCCCAGCGCACCCCAATCATTCTATTTTCCACAACAAAGCATTGATCCAGATGTCCCTGTAGTGTCTCCAGACCTTTTAGATGTTGACAACACATTCCAAATGTGTAAAACATAATAGGGTCAAATAGTCCCATCTATGAGGCCACTTTGTGACCTCCAACACACTGTGTCACAGAAGCCACACAGGGTCCCTGAGGAGGACAATGATGCTCGCTCTACATCTGAGGACACTGAGGCTGCGACAGGCCAGTCCACTCATCTAAAATCCCACAGCCACTCAGAATGGCCCAGCTGGGCTATTGAACAGAGTTCAGTCTGATTCCCTAACCTGGGATCTTTCTGGAATCCCACTGCCTCTTCACCAGGGGAGCTGAGAGAGCTGGGGAGCAGAGAAAACAGACAGATATGTGGCTGGGGAGCCTGTGGGGAGAGCCCAACAGATGACATTCAGAAGAGAAGAGGGAGGGTGGGCAAATCACCCGGGTACCCAAATCATCAAAGTACCCAAATCACCAGAGTATCCAAGTCACCAGGGTACCCAAATAACCAGGGTACCCAAACCATCAGAGTACCCAAATATCCGGGGTACCCAAATCACAGAGTACTCAAATCACTGGGGTACCCAAATCATCAGAGTACCCAAGTCACCGGGGTATCCAAGTCACCGGGGTACCCAAATCACCAGGGTACCCAAATAACTGGGGTACCCAAATCAACAGAGTACCCAAATAACCAGGGTACACAAATCATCAGAGTACCCAAATCACTGGGGTACCCAAATCATGGAGTACTCAAATCACTGGGGTACCCAAATTATCAAAGTATCCAAATCATCAGGGTACCCAAATTGCCAGGGCAGAGATTAAGCTGGTCCCTAGGGGCCCACCCAACAGAGCCCAGACCCAGCTAGACTGTGCGCAGCTCCCCTTCCGCTGCTCCAGCTGGTGTCAATGGCTGGGCTGACCTGGAACTCGATGGAGGAAATCTGCACACTCCCGGTGATGGAGATGGTGTCCACGCGGTGGAAGGGTACTCGGTGTGCGTACTGCATGAAATGGCTCCCGTTCACCGTCACCTGCCAAAGGAGTGGATATTTCAGGAGAGGAAGCCCAGGCCAGGTGCAGGAGCACACCTGAGCTCCCCGCTCACCTCGTTTCTTTAAATTAAACCCTTCGGTGTGTTTTCACATCCATCCTGTGCAAGTTATAGGAACGTGTGTGGGATTCATTCAAAACACATCCAAACCAAATCTCTCCTTGACTTCAGTGAGTTCTTGCAGTGTCCTTGGTGACTTATTGTGGCTGACTTGCCTCCCTCAGTGTAGTTCTTCTGGGCCGTCATTTTCCAATGCACCACCACTGTTGTTATGAGTCTGGCTATGCCTGTGAACACCAGATCTGAACCCTGCCCTGTCCTGTGCCGTCCTCATCTCCTCTGACACACTTGAGATCCTCGCTGCAATCACTATGTCAGTCCATCTCACCAGGGTCTTCCTCTCTTTCCCTGACCTTTCACCTTTCCAAGCTTGATGACTTTTCCCAAGGAATAGCCCCTCTTAACAAAACGGCCAAAGCATATGATACAGTTTCACTATCCTGGCCTCTAGGAAGCATCCTGGTTGCACTTTTCCCCAGCACTTCTTGTGGCGGTTGTTGTTAGGTGCTATCAAGTTGAATATGACTCATAGCGGCCCTGTGAATTGCCAGCCTGAACCATGCCCTGTCCTGTGTCATCCTCATCCTCTCTGATACACTAGAGCCCATTGCTGAAGTCACCCTGCTAATCCATCTCATTGGAGGTCTCCTTTGCTACTCTCCATCTTTCAAAGTATGATGTCCCTTGCCAAAGAATAACCTCACCACCAGTAGGAGTCTTTAAAAAAAAACACACAAACAACAAAAACATTTCAGAACTCAGAACCAACTCATAGCTGACCCTCCAGTGAGTTTCCAAAGTGACAAATCACACGGGAAGAGGTTGACTTTCTGCCATGGGGTCACTGGCAGCTTCAAAGCAGCAGAAGGCACAGTCTTTGGGGTAGCTGTGAAACATCTTATAGACCATGCCACCAAAGGTCCCTGCCATAGGAGTGTGATTAGAGCAGCCAGCTTGCTCAGCTGCTAACCAAAGGTTGGAGGCTCATGGGCACAAGTCCACCTCAGGCACCTCAGAAGAAAGGCCTGGCAATCTACTGCCAAACAACCACCCGCTGAGGACCCATGGAGCACAGTGCTGCTCAGACGCACTCGAGGTCTCCATGAGTTGGAGTCCATGCAGCAGCAACGTCTTGTTTGGTTTGCACAAGACAGAAAGCAGCGAGGTGAGCTCTCAAGTGCTAAGGTTCTGAGCAGCAGCAGCAGGTGCACCTGTGGATGCAGGTGAACGTGTGCAAGGACTTCACAGGGCACTGGCTGGAGTATTGTGGGGTTTCTGCTTGGACGGTGTTGCTTCTGCGTGACTTCAATGAATGTGAGTATTTAAAGGGCAGTTGCTCAATCTGGTGGGACTAAAGTGCTGGGAGCCTGGGGATGGGATGGGATAGGATGAGATGGGATGAGAAAGAAGAGGCTTCATGCTCACCTGGAAGTATGAGCTCTGCACCAGGAAGCTGATCTGAAAGTACTGCCCCATCTGGAAAGGCATTTGCATCTTCCTCTCCTCAGGCCCCCAGGATCCATTCTGTTTGGTATTGCAGACCACATATCCGTTCTGTTCAAAGCGAGGGTTGAAGTGGAAGGCAATGTCATGGTCGTTGAACCCAGTCTGAAAGTTCACAGCAAACCTAGGCCAAGAGAAATCAAAATAGTCTTCTTTTCTAAATTTGGTTCTTAAGAATTGTGTTTGTGTGAAAGTTTACAAATCAGTGTATTTTCACCCATTTATTATTTTGTTTTATACCATTAATTACAATTGATTAATCTAACTAATTACACTGTCTAATCAATTGGCAGCACCATGATGGATGGGAAAGAGATGGAGGTTTTTAAGAAATACAGCTTGCTGAGTCAAGTATCTCAGTCACAAAAGGACAAACACTGCATAGTGCCACTGCTGCAGAGTGGGACTGACATCAGGGTTGGGATAAAAATGAGAAAAACTGGATAAATGTGTATACTGCATTGAAATACATGAGGGAAAGAAAAGGTTAAAAGAGAGATGTGATAGGGTATTATGGTTATCATAAGAGTCTAGAATGAAGGATGCCTAGTAGAGTGTACTCAAGGCGGGGGTGGGGGGCATTGTATACCAATGAAGGAATTTTTCTTTTACTTTTCAAAGAGAGGAGTGAACTGGGGTGGGGAAGGGGTGGACAGAGAGAAAAGTGAAACAATGAATGAATGGAAATCCAAAATCTCTGTAAATATTCATTAAAATTAATAATTTTTTTTTAAAAAGAGAGAGATACAGTTTTCTCAGCTCTACAATCAATGCTTTTGGCACCAGCAGTCAGGAAATCAAAATGTGAACTGCATTTGGTAAATCTCCTGAGAGTTGAGAAGCAACGATGTCAGTCTAGAGACTAGGTGTGCCTGATCCAGGCCATGGTCTTCACAATTATTTGCCGTGCATCAGAGAGCTGGATAATGAGTAAAGATGGTAGAAGAAGAATTGATGCCTTTGTGCTGTGATGCTGGAGAAGAATATTGAACATACCATGGACCACCAAGAAAAGAAAAGAAATAGGTCTGTCTTGGGGAGAGTGAAACTAGGTTTCTCCTGTGAGTATAGGATTTTGAAGCTCCTTCTCACATACTTTGGGCATGTGGCTAAGAGAGACCAATCCTTGGAGAAGGGCATCATGTTCAGAAAGTGGAGGGACAGCGCAGGAGAGGAAGACCCCGGATGAGATGCATTGATACAGTAACAATGGCAATGGGGGTAGGTATATTTGAATCAGTGAGACTGGCTCAGGACAGGGTAGGCTTCACAGCTATCATACATAGGGTTTCCCTGAGTTGCAGGCAAGTTGACAGCACACAACAGCAACAACAACAACCAACAATCAAAATTCAAGATACTGTGAAGGAATTGGCAAGAAACAAGGCCCCAGGACAATTAATTTATATATTTCAACAAACAGACAAAACCCCAGATATGCCCACTAAGTTATGTCAAGAAACCTGGAGGACAACTACCTGGACAACTGACTGGAAAAAATCCATATTTATTCCCATTCCAAAAAAATCTTGCTGAAGATTATACAACAGAGACTGGAACCATAAATCGACAGAGAACTGATAGAGATATAAGCAAGGCTTAGAAGAATGGGAGAAGAATGGGAATTCCAGAACACTTGATTGTGCTCATATGAAGCCTATATCTAGACCAGAAGCTGTTCATTTGAACAAAGAAAGGGAACACTGCATGGCTCAAAATCTAGAAAGGACTGCAACAGGGATATATCTTTTCTCCATACTTTTTCAGTCTCTATGCGGAACAGATCAGTCAGGAGGTTGAATTTTATGAAGAAGAGTGTGGCATCAGGATTGGTGGATGACTCATCAACAACCCGTGTTATGCAGATGACAAAACTTTGCTTGCCGGAAACTGAAGAGCATGTGAAGTGTTTGCTGCACAAAGTCAAGACTGTAGCCTTCTGTATGGACTGCATCTCAACATGGAAAAAAAAAGATCCTCACCACCTTGGTGGTATTATGACAGATGGGGAAAAGATTGCGGTTGTTAACAATGTCATCTTGCTTAGATCCACAATCAACCTCTTGGCACCAGCAGTCAGGAAATTAAAAAAAAAAAAAAAAAAGAGTTGCTTTGGAAAAATCTGCTGTCAGGGATTTCTCCAGGGTGCTAAAGAGCGAAAATGTCAGTCTAGAGACTAAGGTGCACAGGATCCAGGCCATGGTTCTCAATTGTTTGCTATGGTTCTGAGAGCAGGACTGTGAATACGGGGGACAGAAGAAGAATCGATGCCTTTAAGAGGTGGTGCTGGAGAAGAGTACTGAACATACGATAGACTACCAAGAGAACAAACAGGTCTGTCCTGGAAAGGGTGAAACCAGATTGCTTCTTGGAGGCAAGGATTTTGAAATTCTGTCTCACACACCTTGGGAATATTCTCTTTTTTTGTTGCCACACAACTTTGGAAATTCTTACCCCTGAGAAGGAAAAGAGCAAAAACTCCAAAGTGAAGCAGTACGGGTCAGAACTGATTCTGTCAGGCAGGACAGAAGGGGACAGGTCTTCTTGTGCTGGGGGTTGAGGGAAGGCGAGAAAGAGGAGTAGAAATTCAGAAGGTGTTCTTAACTCCCTCGCATCCTCATAGTCCAACCTAGAGGCTAGTGAGGAAGTGGGTGTTGGGGTTGCTGGTGCCTCATTTTCCTGAGTGGGTATCCAAGGCTTTCAGAGAAGTCCATGAAACTGATCACCTCAGCAGGGAAGACATCTAAGATCATCTTGGCTGAGTTCAAGTACAGCTGAACCTGGGAATGGTGTGATAGGAATCCAGAGGGTTCCAGGGTATTTAAAAAGGATAAGAAAGATATCTGGGGTTGAGACAGAGATGCTTCTGAGAGAGAGTCATATGTCCCAAAGGGCTGCAGAGGCCCCCACAGAGCACCTGACCATTAGTCTGAGGAGAAACTCTGCTTCAGTTGGTGAGGACAGCCTAAAGGTCTGTGGGCCCTTTGGCCTTTTAGTGGATGTGAGGGGCTCTTCCCAGGGCCTCACAACCCATCTCAGAAAGAAGGAAAGAGATGTGAAATAGCACTAAATATTTGTCTTTTGCATGTGGAGTCCCTGGGCTAATGCACTCTCATTAACCAAAAAGCTGAAGAATCAAGTCCGCCCAAGCCACCTTGGAAAAGAATCATGGATAGATCTACTTCTGGAAGATCAGCTATTGATAACCCTATGGAAGTGAGAGGCTCACCATGGACACTCAGTCAGACCCACCAGGTGCCCCTCCACAACCAAGGCCTGAGACACAGAATGAAAGATGCAGATGCTATCAATGGAACACAGAACATCAAATGAAAGGATAATCAATTACTTTGAACACCACTTGGAGAAAGAAATCAATTGAGAATAGTGAACTAAGTGAGATATGGAGTGGAGCTCCATGTTAGTCAACCCAGGGCAATGCAGGCATTTTTAAGACAAAGCAGCTCTAAGCCCAGGTGAGACCACAGAGGCCGACTTCACCCAAGTCCCAACAGGAGGCAGAGAAGCTGTGTAGATACACTGCAGTGAGCTAAGGTGGGCAGGACATGAATCAGACCTATGAATGGAAGGTTCAGGAAAGAAAGTGAAGGCTTCAGAGATCTTGATGTACACAGAGCAGGGAGGAAGTCAGGAGCCAAGAACAGGCTGGACGGCAGAATGGTGAACACAGAGTAACAGTCCCATAAAGGTGGTCAGCAGGAGGTCCTCACCTGACCCATTGGAGTCCTGACCAGTGGAGAGAGAGTGTTCCCATATTCCCAGGTGCTCATCCTGACCCTTGACTGAATTCTCTCTGACTCATCTAGTGGTAGAGAAATGCTTCCAGGACACCAGCTGCCTGGCTTGACCCCTGACCAGGCACACATCCACCTCACTGAGTAGCAGGGGAGCATCTCTTGTGTTCCCAGTTGCTGCCTTAACCCTCATCCTCACCTGTTGAGTGGCAGGTGATCTTTCACACACTCTCAGTGACCTGCCCTAACCCCTGCCAGAGACCATCCAGCCCCGTCAAGTGGAGAACATTCTAGTGCTCCATTCATTCCCACGTCCATCCTGATCTACCAGCAACAACGGAGCAAACTCAAGTCCCTGCTCAACACATCCATGCCATCCTGCTAGACAGAAAGGGGGCATTACTGTAATCCCCACCCTGACCCATAGAACAGCAGGAGAACATTGCTTCACCTACGGCTGCCCACCTAACCCTTGTCCAAACTGCCCTAACTGCAAGTCCTCTTCCCTCAGGAGTAATCGTGGTGGTGGGGAGTGTTCCTATGATTCTGGCTTCCCCTCTTCACCTCTGTAGAAGCCCTAGCCATGAGCTTGAGAATTCTCATGCTCCTAAATGCATCCTCAAATTACATTCTTCCATTCTCCTGTTAAACAACAGGAGGCATCTTTTTGCATTACTGGCCACCTACAACACTCTCTGTCCACCACTCAGCAAATTACAAAGAGCACTCATTCTCACATTGCTGGACCAGTTGCCGAAAACGGACAGTGCCTAGTTAGCTCACCATAAGACATGAAACACGCTCAGAAGACAGCAGTGAGGGTTTGCCCTGCCCCGCACTGGGCCGGTCATCTGGAAACAGGTGAGTGCTCCAGAGTCACCAAAGAAATCATCAGCAAAGTCCACCTGACCCACTCACCCAAATGTACCAACCCAAGCCAAACAAAATGTTGAGATGAGGCAAACAATATATAATTAAAAAATGAAACAACAAATGCCTCAGAGGCAACAAATGTCAGAGTATATATAAAAACAAACAAACAAACAAAACAAAAAACAACAACAACAACAACACAGGACAAGATGGCTCCAGCAAATTAACAAAATAAAAGCATTTGTACAAAATAAAAACCTAGGGGAGCTCTGGTGGCCTAGTGGTAAAAAGCTGCACTGCAATCCCAGAGGTACACGGTTCGAATCCATCAGAAGCTCTGCCGGAGAAGGAGGAGCAATCTCCTCCTGTACCAGTCAGATCTGATTTGACGGTACATGCACACAAAATAGTAATAATAAAAAAACAAAAAAAAAGCAAAAATAAAAACCTAGAAAACTTTTCAGTGGAATAAATGGTACTGGAATGAGTGAATAAGAAATTCAAAGACTTGCATACAGGATTCTTGAAGAGATCAAGGAAAATACAGAGAAAATTCCAGAAGAACTCAGAAAAACCATCCAAAAATAAAATGGCTAAGTATACAATTAGAAACCATACAAAAACAATAACTAAAAATCTTGAAGATTCACATATTAGATCAGAGGTTGATGAAAATACATAAAATTATAATTGAATCAATAGAAGAATGAATTCGTGAAAAATTGGAAAATTCCTTGAAATAACTTATTTGTGATGAAGAAATAATGAAAGAATAATGAAGAAAACCTAAATAATGTGGGACATTATCAAGAGTAATAATCTACACGTGATTGAATTCCAGAACAAGGAGAGATTTTTTTTAAAAATGCATGGAAACAATTATTAAGTATTTACTCTTGGGGAGCTCTGGTGGCCTAGTGGCAAGAAGCTGTACTGAAATCCCAGAAGTGCACGGTTCAAATCCACCAAATTCTCTGCTGGAGAAGGGGGGACAATCTCCTCCTGTACCAGTCAGATCTGATTTGATGGTACATGCACAAAAAATAATAAAATAAAATTTAGAAAAAATTTACTTGTAGAAACTTTTAAAAATATCATTGAAGATTAGACTGCTTCCATCTAAGAAGCTCAAAGAAAATGTTTTTACATGGGAAGAGATCGTTTTTTATGATTATTAATGAAGAGAGGACATGGGATGGAAAATCACTAATCAAATTGCAGGCACATGAAAGTTTGGTGAGGGAGAAGACAATATACCAAATGGAGGATGTCACACAACATGACTAAGACAAAGGAAGACACTGAGAGGTCACACAAGCAAAATGCAACTATAGTAAATACAATTACATCTACAATCTGACAGTAAGCAATATGCAAATGGATAAACAAGTCATATGCCACTTGAACAGGTAGATCTAAAAGGAGGTACAGAAGTTCAAACACATGCACAGAGAGACTTGACACTGGATAGTTCTACATAAATTTGTGCTACAAATATATATAACAGACTATACAGAGGGTGCAATTAGGAAAATTCAGTCACCATCTGCTGGCAGGCTGATTAAGTAAGCAATAACATCTATGAGGAGTGTGCTTCTCAAAACATTCAGCTATAAAGACCCAAAGGGCACCATTGGCCCACAAGTAAAATTCAGAGGAGGGCACAAAGGGGCAGGAAAGATGTGCAAACGGAGATGAGGAGCCCAGGGTGGACGATGGAAGAATGCGAACCCAGGGAAGAGATTGCAGCTAATGTCACGAAACAATCTCTATATGCATTATAGAATCTGAAATGAATTAACTTTATAAACTTCTACCTAAACAACAACAATGAAAATTTTCAAGAGAGAAAATGCTCAGGAGCTCAGCTCTAGTCTGACATTCATTGGGTCGCCATGAGTTGAAATGACTTCACTGCAGCAGGCTCCAGTATTTTGTTTTAACTCGGTTTTCCCCCACAAAGATTTAGAAACTACAGGAGACTAAATTACTTTTGAAGGCAACTTGAAATCCTTTTACATCTGCAGAATGAGTGGCTCCAAAGTAAATAACAAGTACAGGAACTACAGGGAGCTCTGGTGGCCTCCTGGGCGGGGAGGGGGGGGAACACAGCCAACACCAAGGCAAGCGGTTCAAATCCACCAGCTGCTCAACATGCAATTTACAACCTCTGGAAACCCACTGGAGGGTCAGCTAGGAATCAGCTTCGACTCCATGGTAATGAGTTGAACTGAGTTGAGCTGAATGGAAGTTATATTTCATAACTCTGGATCATAGCATGCAAAGTTCAACTTTATATCATAATGATCTGTCTCTGGAGGTGGGGGAGGTCTAAGAGGCTGATTGCTTTCTTAAATTATGAGCTTCTTGCAGACCAGGAGCCTTGGGGGCCATTAACCTTAAAGTTTATTAACTTAATGGCACCCTGACATGTTTGGCACTGTGGAGTTGGGTCATGTGGTGTTGGCATTCCCAGACACCAGTGAGGGCACAGCACAGAGGCTGCTGGTTGAATGGACTAGAACTTCTAGGCTCTGTGGTTTGTTAAGGGTCAGGCTGGAGAGAAACAATTACGCCAAGTACCTGCCTCCAGGAGAGTAAATTACAGTCCCATTGACGGTGATCTGAAGTCCATCGTGAAGGCCTCCTTTGATAATCCCAGAGAAAGGGATGGCCTGCAGGGAAGAAAAGAGTAGAAACCAGTAAGTTTCTACTAAAAGAACAAGATTCTACCAAAAGAACAAGCAAACCTGTCTTGAACAAGGAATTGAGGTGCTTCTTGGTGGCAAGGATGGTGAAACATTTTACATACTTTGGGCATGTTGTCAAGAGGTGGCAATCTTTGGGAAAAGACATCACGCTGAGAAATGTAAAGAGTCAATAAAAGAGAGGAAGACTTTCAACAAGATAAATTTACACAGTGACTGCTACAAAGGGCTGGCCATGGGGAGATCATGAGGACGGCACAGGGCTGTGTGAGGTTTTGATCTGCTGTTCATACAATTGCTGTGAGTTGTATGTAGTCGAGTTAATGGCACCTACTAAGTCAGTGTGTGTGTTTCTATATGGGGTCTCTCAGCACTTGCTGATGACTGGTCTTTGTGTGTTGGGGACCATTGCTAAGGACACGGAATGGTCTACGGACAAGACCAATCAAGTGTCTCAGTCTCACAGTTCTTCCAATTATGTGAAGAAGTGGATACAAATTAAGTGAATTACACAAACGTTCTGGGCTTGTGAGCAGGACACATGACTCTTGAGAAGATGTGCAAAAGTTCATTTCCCTTGAAGGTCTGAGAGGAAGTCTTAGCAAACCAAGCCCACAGAGAGTTCACAGGAAGAGGGCCTTTGAGCAGGGGAAGTAGCACGTACACAGACCCTGCGATGGAGGGAACTAGGACGGTGATGGGAGCTGCTGAGTCCCACGGCTAGCTGCTAGCGAAGGTACCAGTGCCCTGCCCAGGAACTCAAGAGGCTCAAAGGATCAAAAGGACCCACCAGTCTATTCTGGAGGGTAGATCTTCTGCTCACCTGAGAAGGCCAAGAAGGCATTCTCACTGCCACCATAGAGAAATGGTGACCATGACCTTTACCCTCCCCGCCTCCCCTGGTAGCACCTCTTCTTGAGCTGTATGTGCCATGGGCTGCCCCTCCTTCATGTTCTTAGCAGCTTTCTTCATCCTGGGGTTGTTGTTGTTGTGGTTATGTGCTGTCGAGTCACTTGCGACTCTTAGCGACCCTATGTACAACAGCCCTAAACTCTGCTCTGTCCTAAGCTACACCCATCCCGATTATCCCAGTCACTGAATCAATCCACCTCATAGAGGGCCTTCCCCTCCTGCGCTGTCCCTCCACCCTCCCAAGCATGATGTCCCTCTCCAAGGACCGATCTCTCCTTACAACATGTCCAAAGTTTGTTAGACGGAGCCTCAGAATCTTTGCCTCCAAGGAGCCACCTGGTTTAACCCTCTCCAGGATGAATCTGTTTGTTTTCCTAGCAGTCCATGATACCCTCAATACTCTTCTCCTGCACCACAGCTCAAAGGCATCAATTCTCCTATCCTCCTTAGTCATTGTCCAACTCTGTGACGCATAACAAGTGATTGCAAAGACCATGGCCTGTATCAGACGCACCTTAGTCTCCAGAGAGACCCATTGCTCTTCAGTACTTTGGAGAGGTCCCTAACAAAAGACTTTCCCATCGCAATACGTCTTTTAATTTCCTGGCTACTGGTGCCAAGAGCGTTGACTGTGGGATAGTGTCTCGAAATCCTAGATCCACTGCTTGCCATCTGGGCAGCCTTGAGAAGTCAAGTTAACATCTCTTTGTCCCAGGCTGTAGGTAGCTGTGCTGCTGACCCAAAGGCAGCACCTCTCAGGCAGTTCAAATCCGCCAGCAGTAATATGGTAGAAGGACGGACAGTCTCCTCCTGGGTGAGCAATAGCCTCCTGAAAATGCCCTGGTGGGGGGGCTAGAAGTTGGTTCTAATTTGACTACAATGGGGTTGGTTTGGTTTGGTATTTTTTTTTCCCAATTGTCTCAGCTGACTCATCTATAACATAAGGACAAAGCACATCCTACTTTCCAGGATTGTTGTGATGGCTTAGTGAGGAAAAGTCTGTACAAGAGACTGCTACAGGGGAGCTCTGGTGGCCTAGTGGCAAGGAGCTGCAACTACAATCCCAGAGGCGAATGGTTCGAATCCACCAGATGCTCTGCCGGGTAAGGAGGGACAATCTCCTCCTGTACCAGTCAGATCTGATTTGATGGTACACACACACAAAAATAATAAAATAAAATTTTTTTTTAAAATTAAAAAAAAAAAAAGACTGCTACTACAAGAGAGCTCTAGTGGCCTAGTGGCAAGAAGCTGCGCTGCGATCCCAAAGGCTCATGGTTCAAATCCATCAGATGCTCCACTGGAGAAGGAGGGGTAATCTCCTGCGCCAGTCAGATCCAATTCAACAGTACACAACAAGGGAGGGGGGCAAAAAAGAGAGAGAGAGAGACTGTTACTTAGTAGGGACCCTTCACTCCCTCCTCTTTGGACTCTGCAAAATTTCCAAACTGGTTACATCACAACTTTCAAACCTTATCTCAGGGGATAAGGGATACCTTTTCTTCAGTGTGTTTTTACAACTTTCATGAAAACATGGTTCTATTTCTTAACTGGTTTTAACGTCGTTCATTTGCTCTCTAACAACGTCTATACGTCAGTTCCCTACAGATATGAAATACCTTCAGGAGCCAGGCCAGTAATATATGATGAATGAGAAGAGTCCAATAGGGAGTGGTGTGGACTATGACAAACTAACCTATTGCTCGTCTAAAAGAATAGTGTCCATAAATAAATAAAAAATAGTGCCCAGACAGCTTTAACCAACTATAGTTGTCCACATCCAGTGTTGGCTATCGTTTCAAATCAACTTGATGGCACCTAATAGCAACAACAACATCATCATACAATAGAAGCCCTGGTGGTAGAGTGGTTAAGCACATAACTGTTGACCGAAATGTTAGCACCATCTTGTCCATGGGAAAGAAGTGCAGCAATCTGCTTCTTAAATATTTGGAAGCCTAATGGGGTGGGTCTCCTCTGTTCTCCAGTGTTGCTATGAGTTGAGATTGGCTCCACGGGCTTTTTGTTGTTTTTTTTAAAAAAAACACATGGTTCAAATCCACCAGATGCTCTGCTGGAGAAGGAGGGACAATCTCCTCCTGTACCAGGCAGATCTGATTTGACGGTGCACACAAAAAAATAATAAAATAAATAAATAAAAACAAAACAAAACACACAAACAAAGTTCTTTCTTGCAATATTATATTAGTAAAGGACTAGGAACAATCTAAAAGTCCACAAATAGGAAAACATTGCAGTAGATTTTGACATTGCCATTGCTTTAAAAACAGGAAGAGGGAGTGCTTTAAGCACTAATATGGATTGAGGTCATTTGTATAAAAAATGGGTGGGACGGCATTCCTGTGTACCTATTCTATTCACAGCTAAAATATCTCTAGGAAAATTTATAAGACCCTGATAACACTGGGTGACTCCAAGAAGGGTCTGAAAATTAGACAGTGACTACCTTAAAGATGGCCACACCCTAACCCCCCAGAGTCCAGAACTACGTTAGTTTCTAAGGTAAGACAGACTGTGCAGATGTAGTTAAGTAATTTGAGATGTGGGGATTACGCTGAGTGATCCAGGTGATCTCAGCATAAGCACAAGGTTCCTAGAGAAGGAGGCAGGGGGATCACAGTCAGCAGGAGAGGTGATGGTGGAAGCTAGAGGAGTCTGAGCTTTGGAGGATGAGGCCACCAGCCAAGGAAAGCAGGCAGCCTCTAGGTGCCAGAAAAGACAAGGAAGTAAACTCTCCCATCGAGCCTCTAGAAAGAACACAGCCTTTCAAAGCCTCCCTGCCCCCTCCCCTAAGGACAAATCCTGTATAAGACCATTATTGTAGAAATAGAAAGCTAAATAGCAAAACATACATGAGGATCCAAGAGGGAGATGAGGGGAACACAGAGGTGAGGATGGGCAGGGGGGAAATTATAGGGTCGCACAACTTGATGGGTAGAGGGAGGGGTGGATAAGAAAAATGGGAAAGATCTGGTGTGAAAAACAATGTATACAAATTTTGTAAGTAAACCAGTATAAAATAAAAATTTTCTTTAAAACCAGCTACCTCTTTTTGAAAGGCTCTGATCTCCACATTTATGAGAGAATCACTTTGTGCTTGTAAGTACACTATTACATTTGTGAGAATTTGTTATGGCACCAATAGGAAGTTAATATGGAAGGGCATTGGAGAACTGGCAGAAGGATGAGTCAGGGTGAAGGCCTTTTTAAAAAAAATTATTTTATTATTTGTGTGTGTGTGTGTGTGTGTGTGTGTGTGTGTGTGTGTGTATGTACTGTCAAATCGGATCTTACTGGTACAGGAGGAGATTGTCCCTCCTTCTCCAGCAGAGCATCTGGTGGATTTGAACTGCGCACCTCTGGGATTGCAGTGCAGCTTCTTGCCACTAGGCCACCAGAGCTTGCCAATGAAGGGCATTTTTACTGGAAAACATTTTCCTTGTAGAATTTGAAACCCTTTGTCTGAGTAAGGTCTCTTAGCAGAAACCACTGGCGAGTTTCTTAGGTTTCCTAAGCAGAAAACCTTTGGGGAGTTACAGGGCATTGGGCCCTCAATGTTCTGACTTAACTTACCTTGCCTGTAAGAGGACTGCCTTCTGGCCTGAAGAATTTGGCTTCTGAGCCAAAGGATTGAAAAATAAAAACTAGTCACTAAAACAATAAAATGCCAGACTAAAGGAGCTTCAGATGCCATCTGAGGAGAACCAGAGAGAGGTAAACTGCCCACGGTGTTAAGTTCTAGTCCAAAAGTGCTCGCTAAGGTGCCAGCTGGATCTGTCCCATGTCCCCTAGCCCCTTCACACAAGTCTCGCATCAGGAGCCTCCACAGATCTATGGCACAGACATGGGTGGTGACTGGAAAGGAATAGGCCGGTCAGGGCCTGTGCTGACCTGGGTTCGAATGTGTGACCCTTGAAGCTTCTCTGCTCTCAGCCTTTGCTGCTGCGCGTCTTCTCAACCCACCACTCCAGCCCCTCAGAAAGCTGTCAGCCAAGGCCAGGAGAGGCCCCTACTATAGAATCTGCCCAGGACATAGTGACCACAAAAGCCTGCTAAACAGGGAGCTGTAGCTTCCTCGTTCTCCCATTATTCCTCCTCCGTAAATCGAGGCATGGTCCGTGGCTGCAGCTCATATACTTGGCAAGTGGCCTCCTCTCTTTGAGTCTCAGGTTTTCCACGTATGAAATGGGAACAATAAGCCTCACAGAGTTTACACAAGACCCTGCAGCGGGGCCTATGCACATACGGCAAAGCAGTACAGAGGCTGCCCTTTGCCCCCTGCCCTGCAGTGACACTCCTCACTCCTCTCACTCCTGACAACACTTTTGACCCAGTTTGCATGGTGACCTCTCCCTCACCCTTCAGGGTGCAGATACCTCCCTGGCCCCTCCCACTGCTCTTAAGGCTCACCCTACCCAGGAGCCCCAGGCTCCTTTTGAGTACTCCTTATTTACTCATTTGCTCCTGGGAAGTGGTCCAGGGTCATGACCATTTATTTCACAGATGTGGAAGCTGAGGCAGAGTGTGAAAGTAACTGACATGAGGTCACCCAGCTGATAAATAAGTGGACCCAGGACCTGGACCTAAAAAGGAGGCTTTTTCCAAAGTAGGCGTCCTCACCACTCTGCCTGTTGCTATTGCTTCTAGAAAGACACCTAGTTACTTCCCCTTTCACACAAATCAATCACCCTTTCTACTATTATGGTAGACTTCCTCTTCCAACCCTTCCCACAGGGAACTGAGTAATCAGCTGAGGTAGGATAAGCTCCAAGGGCTACTTTGAAGGACCTTAGAGTCAGCCCAGGTGGGAGAGTAATTTTTTCTGTACCAAGAGGTGCCAGAACTCGTCTACCTTTCTGACAGTCTCATACTAACCAGCTAGTCTTGTCTTGGAGCATCCTGTTTTCTTCCTAACAAGTGACCCCAGAGGAGCTGGTTTCAACCAGTTTTCTGGACCATGGGCTGAAACAACGCTCATGCCCTTGGTGGGCTGACTACTTTGAACAAATTGCCTGAGAAAGGATTCAAACCAGAGAACATCCCACAATAAGTGATGTCTTTTAACTCAGAAGCCTCTGCAAGAGATTCTATCTTGAGAACCAGCTGTGTGCCCATTTATCACAAGCTTGCCTATGCTAGTCTTTTCTCAGAATCCCCCACTTTCCTTCATGAATACACATGAAGACCCTGCCCACCAAATCCCTTTGTAAACCCCAAAGTTTCTTTGCTCAGAGAGCTGTGGTATGTGTTTTGTGCCCACCCCTCCCTCCACCCCTCCCCCATCTCCCTTCTTGAAGGTTTGTTTTTGTTTTGTCTTGTTTTTTAAATTTTATTTTATTATTTTTTATGTGTGTACCGTCAAATCAGATCTGACTGGTACAGGAGGAGATTGTCCCTCCTTCTCCAGCAGAACATCTGGTGGACTGCCACCAGAACTCCCTTCTTGAAGGTTTTTAAGAAATATTTTGCTTATTTGAAAAGTTTCTGTATCTTATTAGTCATTCTCATAAGTGAGAGAAAAACATCTGTCCCTTTGCAAAGCAGAGGGAGCTCTGGTGGCCTTAGTGATTAAGGAATTATGCTGTTGACTCAAAGGCAGATGGTTCTAATCCACCAGCTGCTACAAAGGGGAAAAATGGACAAATCATCAGAAGCCATTTACAGCCTCTGAAAACCTACTGGGGCGTTAGCTATGAGTCGATTCTGACTCTACTACAATTGTTTGTTTGTTTGTTTGTTTTAATTTTTTATTAGGATTTCCATTCATTCATTGTTGCACTTTTCTCCCCTCCCAACCTACCCCCCTAGTATACTACCCTCTTGGAAAAGTAAAACAAAAATTCTTTCATTGTTTTACAATCCCTCCCCCCAGGTCCACTCCACTATGCAGCCTTCCTTCTGGACTCCAGTCATGACAATAATACCTAATCACATATCCCTTTTAAACAGTTTTCTCCCTCATCTGTTTCAATGCTGTATACATTATTTATTCCATCTTTCTCAGTCTCCCCCCAACCCTGATGTCAGTCCTGTTTTACAACAGTGGCACCATGCAGTATTTGTCCTTTCGACTCCACTACAATGAACATTGTTATCTGTAAAGCAGAGAGCCTTCCCAGGCAATAATCCCTGTTTCTGAACAATCGTGGGAAGACTTTGAGGGCACAGAATTGTTGAGTCAGGATTGCCCTATCTTGTGCTTCTGCCCTTCTTGTGCTCCCTTTAAGAGGTCCCCCTCCCTGACATTCGCTAGTTCCTGCCACCCAAGAGTGACTTCCTCAGAGGCTCAGAGCTGCTTCCTTTGGCCATGGTGCCATCCAAGCCAGCCATCACCACCCCATCCCCAAGGCCCCAGACTCACGGGGTTGATATAAGGAGGCTGGAAACCAGAGAAATCCATCTTTCTGTGCCTTGGGTGTGGCTTCTGCTCTGCACAGAGACAGGCTGTCCTCTGCTCAGAGGGAGGACTTTTCCGTGAAACAGAAACTAAAGCTAATCAGTGGGGAGGAGCTGAGAAAAGGAGGAAGTGGGCCTAGAGAAAGAGAAAAGTAGACTCCTTGAGGGGGTAGGGATGGCGGAGGGGGCGTGGTAAGGACCTGGGGAGAGACAGAAGGTATCTGAAGTAGGCAAGTCCAACACATGCCCTGGGTGCCACCTGAGGGAGGACACCAATGAGCTGCTTTCTGTTTGTTGTTATTGTTGATTGCTGAACAAAAGACCTAATGACTTTTCATATCAATCGTCATTTCTCCAAGTTGACAGAGTTTCCAGAGGCATGTGTTTTAGGAAGTGGATGCCACTCCTGCTTCCAAACCTGTTTTACAACTGGGAGCTCCACCAAACAGTGTCCACAATGGGAAACCATTCTGGTATTTGATACCCCGATGGCACAAGGTTCAGCAACACAGCAAACCCAGGTTACTTCATACAGCACATTGACAAAGAGTGATGTACAAAGTGAAAGAGTGTTCCTCCAGATATAATAGCACTGGTCTCATTTAGCAGTGGTTACATGTTGTCAAGTCAAATATGACTCAGAGTAAGCTTTGCACAAAAGACCTGAACTCTGTTCTAGAACTAATATAATTTCTGTATATTTATAAATAGCTTCCTATTTACCAATACAGTTTTCATTACCAGCCCAGGAAGGTCATTCAACAATTTGAAACTATTTGCCTTAGGGATTATTTTCCATAGATACACCTCTGGGGAGGAGGAATTGGTTAATTCCAACCCCAATGAAGTTTTCTTTCTGTCTGTGGCCTTACACATTCCCACAAACTAAATTATATATGATTCATGTAGGTTTAAAAGCATCTGATCAGTGGATCTCTGGTGGCCTGGTAGCAAGAAGCTGCACTACAATCCCAGAGGTACAGAGTTTGAATCCACCAGATGCTCTGCCGGACAAGGAAGGGCAATACTGTACCAGTCAGATCCAATTTGACAGTACACACAGAAAAAATAATTTAAAAATTTATGTTTTGTTTTGGGTTTGTTTTTTTTTTTTAAAAAAAGAGCAAGCACCTGATCATATCTATTAGGCCAACAATCAAAATGGAGGTTGAAGCTCAACTCAGAAAATCCTATGTTAGGACTTTTCCCAAAACCAAAACTCAGAAATTCTCATATCAGGACTTTTCCCCAAACCAGAAAGTCCCAGAAACTTAATGCAACAATGAACTACTGCAACTCCAACTCATCTCACACACCCTCCCCACCCCAGGTGTACTAACCAATAAAGAAATAAAGCCCCATATAAGCTTTCTCAAACCCAACCCCCAGTGCTACTCCCATTGCTCAGTTGCCTGGTGCACAATAAACTGAGAAATGTTTATATCTTGGCGTGGTTCTTGGCATACGATCTGAAACCTTTCAATATCAAGGTCTCGAGGTCTAGTGTTAAGAAGTTGCACTGCCAACTCAAAGGCAAGTATTTAAAATTCACCAGCTGTTCCGCAGGAGAAAGATGGGCAATCTCTTGTCATGTGACTTACAGCCTCTGCAAACCAGGTGGAGGGTCAGCTATGAGCTGGTTTTGACTCCCAGGCACATAACAACATAGCAGATCATAACAAGATAGAATTTTCTAGCTGATGCTGACTTCATGCTATGCAGCTGTACTCCGTAGCAGGCTGGGTTAACACTGTCCAGAAAACATCAAAGCTGCTTCAATGAGCCTGTGTAGCTGGGCATTGTACCTGGAATTCCACTCCTAGAATTCCCACCACCATCCGGGGGGTATGAAGTCTGATTGCACCCATTTTACACACAGAGAAAATGCCTCAAAAAACCTGGTGGACATGCCCAAAGTCACAAAGCTTTTATGATTATTAGTGATAACTTGAGCCATGTAAGTTAATCTATTTGGCGCTAGCCAAAAGGTTAGGGTTTCATGTCTGCCCAAAGAAGCCTTCGAAGAATGGCCTGGCAATCTTTTGAAAAATCAGCCCTTAACAACCTCTAAGGGCACAACTCTCCTCTGACATAGGTGGGGGTCACCAGGAGCTGGATCCTTTTGACAGCAACTGGAATCGGTGACTCAGATATGCAGAGTCTCAGATTCTTAAAAAAACAAAACCATTTCTCCCTTTTAAAAGAAACAGTAACAAAAAGCACATCGCTAGAAATATCTTACAAATTAAGAAAGCTCATCATAGAGCTTTCCACGTGGCAGTGAAGTGGCACCCCAGGAGCGTTTATGAAGTTGTCTCTTCTTTTTTATCTTCTACTTTTTCTCCTTGGGGTTTAGGATGGTAAAGGAATTGGCAAGACGTCTTTGACACGACAGAATATTCCAAGTAATTGTTGTTGTTAAGTGTCATCAAGTTGTGACCCTATGACCAATGGGTCTGTACTCTTTCCTATCCTGTGCCAGCATCACCATCTCCGAAACCCTTGAGCCCATTGCTACAGTCACAATGTCAACCTACATTGTTGAGGTTCTTCCTCTCCTCCATCATCCCTCCATCTTTCCAAGCAGGATGTCCTTCTTCAAGGACTGGTTCTTTCTAACAACAGGCTCAAAGTATGCGAGGCAAAACTTCACTATCCCTTCCTTCCACCGAGCAACCCAGGTTGCACTTTCTCCAAGACATATTTGTTTGTTCCAAATAGCTTAAATAAGCTTCTATTAGTTCTAGCACCCAGTTAAGGGAGGGGAAATCGATAGCATATTCGTTGATGTTAACTTATGTCCCTGGGGTTTGTCAAGAGGACACCTGGGAGTCAAGCCTGCAATGAGTAGCTAAGGGTCATCTGTACATTACGTTCCACCTCGAAGCACCAGAATGGCAGGACTAACTTGTCAGGTGGGACCAATCCTTGGAAAAAAGACATCATGCTGGGAAAGATGGAGGGTCAGAGAAAGAGGAAGACCCGCAGCCAGATGAACTGAGTGTAGAAGGTGGAGAGGATGGTGCCAAATAGGGCGAGGTTCAGAGACGTAGTTCACAGAGTTGCTGGGAGTCATAATTGACTTGCCAACATCTAACGGTAACTGGTGCCATCACCGCCTTTGTGATCCTTCCTCTGCCACCAGCTGCTACCACTGACGCTCTAGGCTCACTGACTGAGTTGGAATCTATTCAAAGGCAATGGATTTAAACCTCAGTGAGAAACATCCATAGACTGAGCACATGTGTTCCCTGTACCCATTCTGCTCTCCTGAATCAACTAAAAATCCCATGTTCAAATATCAAAACATGGGGCCCATTTTTACCTTCTCCACAGATGGTCACTTGGCATCCGTCTCAGACTGTTTATGTCTTGGGACCAGCTTCTTTCTTTCTCTCTCGTCCTCGACTCTTTTTTTTTCTATCTAACATATGAGTCCCTGACTGGGAAATCTACCTGAATGGGAAGAATGCCTAGTCATAGGCATCCATTTTTCCACAACTGGTCAGCCCAGAGAACAAGCCTGCCCACCAAACTCACTAATAGGTCATCATTGGTGGCTGGTCGAAGGCCACGTGCCATTTGAATTCAACAACATTCAATATTAACACCAGCTTCGCTATCCCTCCAATTGAGGTCATACAAACTAGAAGTCAACACAGACCAGGTTCAGCTTCTCTTCAAAGTCAACTTGTAAAGATGCCTGAGCAAGAAGCAATCTCTTCTTCACCTGCAGACACAGTGCCTACTCCTGCCTGCTGACCAAGCCAACTCCGAACTAATACCTGTCCTTCTAAACTAGCACCTCAAACACAAACAAACCATAACTCCTCCCTTTAATGTCCAGCCTGTGAATAATAACAAGAGCTACTACTAACATGGTGGCATCCACTTCCTAAACAACATACCTCTAGAAACTCTATGAACTTTGAGAAATGACGCTACCTATAGAATGGCTTCAGGTCTTTTGTTCATAGAGTCACTCACTATGAGTCGTGCTCAACTTTACAGCGATCAACAACAACTACTAACACTGCAGGCTTAGACATCTTAGAAAATTCCAGCATCTCTCAAAAATTCTCCAAGGGTCACTAGACAATATCGCAACTCAGCTTATTGCAGTCCAAGACCATATTGACTCCTTCAGGGCAGTTGTGTTATAAAACAAGAGACTTAATCTATTAACTATAGAAAAAGGTAGTTTCTGACTGTTTCTAGGAGAAGACTGTTTTTTCTGTAAACTAACACCCTAAATAGATAATCAAGGACCTAGTGGCAACTAGGAATTCCCCCTTTGCTGCTCCCCATCCTAACTCCCTTTGTAGCCATTCTTTTTATAAATTTTTCTCTCTGTTTTATACATTTCTTTCAGAAATTTTTAATAAACTGCCTCACTGCCACCTCCTGAGCAACTGCCCAAGAACACATGAAAATGATGCTCCTTCTTCAGGCCTTACAGGAAACCAACACCAGCCCCCCTGAGCGTTGCCCCAGTTCAGCAGGAAGTAGCTAGAGATAATTCCGCCCCTAATCATCAAATTCATTTAGGGTCTGGAATGGAGGGAAAATGTCGCAGTTGCCCCAAGGCCTGACCACTCCTTGACGGGGCCTGATGATCTCTAAGGCTACCCGAGCAGAGATCAGACCAGGGATTGGATTCTAATAAGGCTCTAGGCCTGATCATAAAAGCCCACACTCAAGTTAATTAACAGGACTCCAACCCCAAATTCCAAGCAAAATACCATCTTTCCTAGTCCTCTCTAAAACCCCTATAAAAAGAAATCACCCTGGACTGCTCTTGCTCCATTTTTACCTTCTCTGTGCAGGGTCACTTGGCATCCCTCTCAGACAACACAATAAAGGCCTGTTCATTCTTTAGGGTGAGAAATATCAAAGCATGGAGGCCAACAGTCACAGTCTGATATTTGAACAGAAAGAAGGGAAAGAAAGAAATTCTTTGCCTTCGCTCCAACACCAGGGATGATATCAACATGGTGGTTTTTT